TGCAACAAGGCTGCCCAAAACCATCTTTTGATGCATCTGTATGCAATTTGCTTTTAGCTTCTCTATTGTATAATTATAGCACGGGTTCTTCTGTCAATGCCTTCTTTAGCTCTTGAAAAACCGCCAATTCTGCTGACTCTATCCGGAAGGTTGCATCTTTCTTCAAACGAATAATCTTTAATGAACTTCCGAAAAAAGGCTGTTAATCCCAAAAAGGCCTAAACAGCTCGCACATTTTTGGGCACAGGAAACTTATTAACAGCATCTGTTTTCTCCTGACCAGGACCAACATATGCTCCATAAATTTTATGGCTTAGAAACGATATAGATGGCTGTAAAAAATGGCATTTCTTCCATTTAATTTTTAATCCGTGCAACGAAGCCGCCTTCAATACCATCTTCATCTTCTATAAACATTCGTCTGCTGTTTCCGCGTGAATTATTATATCATCCATGTATAGGTCCAAAACATTTTGCTTCCTTAAATCTTCGAAAATGTGACTCACATATCGTATAAACACGGGTGGTGAATTCCCAAATCCAAATGGGGCTTTATTGAATTCAAAAAGCCCATTCTTTGTAACGAACGCAGTGAACTTTTTACTCTCTTCCTCTATGGCTACATGAAAAAACCCATTCTCCAGATCCATTACTTAAAAGAACTTGGCCTTCTGCAATTTCTCCAGCACGTCATCAATTACCGGTACAGGAAAACAATCTTTCAAAACCATTGAGTTTAGCTTTCGATAATCAACACAAATTCGTCTTGAGCCATAATTTTTGTTTAACAGCACCAAACGACTGGCAAAGTGAGATAACGACTCTCTAATAATTCTTTAGCGAAGTCTAATTTGAATTTGCCGGTCAACTTCTTCTTCCTCCTCAATAGCCAGTCGTCTAGGAGCTTGATGAAATGGAATAATTTCACCATCTGGTATTATCTTCAGCAGCACAGGAAACTCAATCACCGGCTTCACAGGATCATATTGGTCAATCAACGATTTTACTTCATGTAGATACCGCGACGGAACATCAATATCAATGTGTGCTTCAACCATATTGTATATATCATACTTATCTGATTAGGCGCATCAGCTTTCCCACCGGTAGGGCAGGAAAACTGATATCCATCTTGCGAAGAAGTAAAAGTAAATCCAAATTTATCTCAGCTACGAAACGACCAATGGGGCGAATTATATTGTTCCCCAAACCTCGTAGCTGCAGTTCACATTTTTCCAACTGCACGCTGCTGACCTTTTTGAATACGTTCTCTTTGACAATAGTCAAATCAGCTCCTGTGTCTATCAAGCAGTCCACTTCAATTCCGTTTAATATGACTCGTTTTAGACGCTTACTGTCGTGCACCAATGCCACATTCACAGCTGTTCCAGGACAATCCCTTGAAATATGTCCACCTTTTTGGCAACGAAAACATTTTTTTCTTCTTTACAAAAAATGCTCTGAGGACCCACAGTTATAGCATTGATTTTTCTTTTCTTTATCCTCCTGTCCCGCATTAAACTTTTTTTCTTCTCTTTGCAACTTATTAGCTGCCGACGCTCGCTCATAAATTCCATACTGATTTTCCAGCTCCTTAAACTGAACTTAAAGTCAGTTTTCAAATTTAGACCATCTACTATATAACGAATTATTGAACAGGAGTCAACTGCGCCCGCCGTGGCACTCTTCCTCATTTGGAGCACATAGTCTTTGAAGCTTTCTTCTTTTTCTTTTTTCTGGAAACGCAACATGGCATGTATATCCGCACTATACACAGAAGAGTAACGATCAAATTCCTCTTCCAATAGTTTCCGCAACTCAGAATAATTGGATGCGTGTGTCGTCTCAAGAAAATATTTTGCAGATTTTGTAACCTTCCATAGGGCATGTACAAATTTCTGTGGATCACTTAGTCCATACGCGTTGGCGTTTGTCTCAAAGCTCGTGAACCAATTTTTAACTGGAATTGTTATACATATCATCAAATTCTGGTATTATGCTCGCAAAATTTTTAACAGTAATTTTAGGTTCGTCTCGCTTAACTTCATCTGCTTGTATTTTTAACGTCAACAATTGTATTACCTGTTGCAACATCTCATTATTTGCATTAATTTTTCCTGAATTGTCTATTTCATTTTTCATTTTACTTTCATGCGTTACTGCTGCTACAATTTTTCTTCTTTCTTTTTCCTAGATCAATTAAGGGAGGCACGATATATAAGCAGGCTGGATTTAAAGGACGGATACTGGCAGATACCTCTGGAGGAGAAAAGCAGGTAGTCCACCGCTTTCACCGTCCCAGGAAAGGGATTGTTCCAATGGAAAGTGATGCCGTTCGGACTGCACTCAGCGTCAGCAACGTTCCAAAGGGCACTCGCACGCTTTCGCGTATCAGGACGATATTATCGTCATCGGACGGAGGAGCACAAAAGGAACCTGAGGGAAGTGTTCCGAAGATTGCGTGCGGCAAACCTGAAGGTAAACGTCGACAAGTGCAAGTTCTTCAGGAAAGAGATACAGTACCTGGGGCATCGCATCACGACCCAAGGAATTGAAATTGGTCCGGAGAAGGTAGCGACGATAGCGTTGCTGGAACGCCCAGCTAACGTTAAGGAACCGAGGCAATACCTAGGAGTGGCATTGTGATACCGACGCTTCGTATCCGATTACGCCACACTAGTCCAGCCACTAAACGCCCTACTGCGGAAAAAGGTGAAGTGGGAATGGACCAACGACCACCAGCAGGCATTCGAAGCGGTCAAAGCCAGACTGGTCGCAGACCTAATCCTTGCATGTCTCGACTTCACGAAAATGTTCGTCCTACAGACAGAAGCCAGCGATTATGGGCTTGGCCCATACTCACCCAACATTCAGAACAAGTCGAGAGAGTAATTCTAGTATTCAATTCGCTCCCTAAATGAAGCAGAAAAGAAATACTCCGCAAGGAAAAAGGAATGGTTGGCGATTGTGTGGGCCATAAGAAAGTTGCGGACGTACCTAGAGGGATACCATTTTAAAGTAATCACAGATCACATGGCACTAAAATGGCTCAACAGCATAGAGAACCCGTCGGGAAGGATTGCAAGATGGGGATTAGAACTCCAACAGTACGACTTTGAAATATCCTATCGAGGCAGCCTTTGCCAGCGAAATGCCGCCGAGTAAAGACAACGAATATGGAACCAGAGTGCAAATGGATAGCGGAGATGAGGAGCACAGAGGGTTATTGCAGAAAACCATAACGCACCAACGGGCGGTCTCTGGGCCCGGAAAACGATCGCAAGGGTAGCTGCGTGGTACCACTGACCGAGCATGCACAGAGACGTCAGGGCCTACGTACGGAATTGTGAGAGCTGTATGAGGTACAAACCGAACCAGCTGCAGGCGGCCGGCAAGTTGTTGATGCAGATTCCCGAGGAGCCATGGGCGACAGTATGCGTCGATTTCGTCGGGCCACTGGCGTGGTCAAAACACGGGAATGGGATGCTGCTCGTCCTGGTGGACCGATTCTACAAGTGGACCTAGATGGTGCCCATGCGAAAGCCGACCACCGAATCGCTGCAAAAGACCATTATGGAGAGAATAGTTTCAAGATACGGCGTCCCTAAAGTCCTAATTACGGACAACGGAGTGCAGTTCACCAGCAGGTCGTTTAAAAAATTCCTGGAAGAGTTGGGTGTGCGCCACCAATTTACTGTTCCATACATATAGAAATTGAAGACGATGATCGCTCAGTTTGCGGGAGCCGACCAGAAAACGTGGGACGAGAAATGGCCGGAGTTGCAAATGGCAATAAAAACCAGGGTGGCGGAGTCCACAGGATTTATCACCCAGGGTAGAGAACCCAGGCTACCAAAGGCTCTGTACGACGAGGAAATGTTCGGAGCACGAGCGCCAGGAGCGCGATAAGCGAGTTAGAGAAGGGTACACAAGCCGAAGAAAAAAAACGGCCGGACACAACAGCAGCGCCAGCAGAGCGACTTCAGCAGCAGCAGCATCATCATCAGCAGCAGCAGCATCAGCAGTAGCAGTAGAGACTTTAGCAGCAGCAGCAGCAACCAAGTGCAGCAGTCGCAACAACAAGTGCAGCACCATAAGCCCAATTCATGCAATTTTGCCATTGTTTCCATTGACATGTGACATGGTGCATTGTCTTGGTAAAACAGCACTTTTTTCTGTTTCAAGTGCGCCCGTTTCTCAGCGATTTAAACGCTCTAATGTAATATTCCATGTGCATCCCAAAATACAGAGGCCATAATCTTGCCAGCCGACTGTTGCGTTTTTCCTCGTCCTTTCAGATGACTTGATTTAGCAAACCACTTTCTAAAGGTCCTATCGCTTGGCGAAGAGACCGGATAACACTCATCAAGCCACATTTTGGTTTCAGCATCATTTTTTCTCATCAAGAAAATAATGTTTCATAAACACACGAAATTTCTTTTATCCATTTTTTTCACGGAATGAACTTTTCAGCCAACCTCATACTTAACTAGAATAACAATAAGTGAATAATAATCTCTCCTATGAGAGCTATCCGATATCCAATATAGTGGCCCGATCCGACGCGTTCCGATTACATACTGCGTGCAATAACTACACAACTTTTGGGAAAGTTTCAGCACGATAGCTTTAAAACTTAGAGACTAGTTTGTGAGGAAACAGACAGGAGGACAGATGGACAGACGGACAGACGTACAGACGTATTTCGATTCAGATCGTGATACTGATCAAGAATACATATTTTATTGGGTCTGAGGTGTCTCTTTAACTGTGACGCAAACTTCTGACTGAAATTGGAATACCATTTGCAGAGCTATAAAAAAAATTGAAGAAATCAAGTCGATGCGATCAAAAACGATCATTATTTTTTATAAAAACAATGTACGAAACGACGCAGGAACTAGATTATTTGATGTAAAACAGTTCACCGCAGAAGCGATTTGATGCAGCAAAGTTAATAAACGTTATATAGTATAATGTTATCCAGGAAAAGTACTTACCATTTTTCTGAAATGCCAAAAGTCGGTAGCAGCCATAAATGTTTTCAAAGCCCAATTCTTGAGCAAAGTCCTTGGGACCATAGTCCATTGTATTTCAGAAAATATTTCTCGTAAAATAGTATGTGTAGTCTGCGTTCCCCTTGCCTGGACTTCAGAAAGACGATCATAATATTTAACTATTGGCATATCGTAATCCACCTGCGTGTTGTTGCAACATTTTTGAAATATTTTCAACAATGAAATACTGTTTGGATTATCTTCCGCTAATCGCATTTGAGGAGATATTGGTACAACCCTTGGTACCGTTATGTTTAAAAACCGCCGACTTGTCTCTTTTTGCTTTTCTAAATAGTAGTTTAACATACGTTTCAGTTGTAACACTCTTTCTTCTCGGCGAGCATCGCCCAATCCAGAGTCGAGAACTACAAGATAGGGATATATTTTTCCATTCGTACCGCGAATATAAAGTCGTCGTGCAGCTGTATTATTTTTCTGCACAATTTCCACCCGAGGCATGAATCTGGCGATTCTTACATAATAATGAGACGATAATGGGATTAACAACTCGCCGGGAAGTTCCACTTCGGCTGTTTTTTGACTAAAGTTTGACAAAAATCTACACTTGTCTTCTATTAAAAATGATGTTGGTAATTTTTTAACCTTTGTTTCAAGGACTTTTATCCATGTTTTTAATTTAGATATAAGGTTGTGCAATTTCATAGCACCAGGCTTTGAAAAGTCAAAGTCATTAGTAAATTGTTCCTTCATTTTTTGGAACACTGGATCCTGAAATGTTACTTGGGCACGTCGAGCAAGTGATTCGGATGCTGCCGAATTAGAAACTGATGAGGTGACAGATCCAGGAACATTTTCTATTCCAATTCCAAATGTTGAACCAAGCTTCCTAACGAAGTGTAATGTGTGAGGGGTTATGGTAGAATGGACTACAGTGTTTCTATTCTCAAATGCTATTGCATAACATTTTATTAAGCCTTGACGTAGTTGCCGAAGAACTTCCTCCGTCCAGCTTTCTCTAAACCAAACCATTTGGTCTACTATACCTTCCAAAGAACTTAATATAGTTGGATGTACTTCTCTTTGCAATTGCATCACTTTAGAGCAACGCCACATCGGAGGCGTCGCTTTAATGGGATTAACTGATGGAATATTTCCTTGATTTGGTCTTCCAGTACTAGGAACACTGCTGTCCATATTCTAAAAAGAAATAAAAACAAATAGGTAATTGTATTTTCCAATGTAAGAAAAATTTAGATTGCCGTGTTGCTGACAATAAGTTCAATAAGTAGTAATCCCATAAATAATCCTTACGAATGCCAGGTTCTTCAATTCTAAAAGAAAATTTAAATAGCTGTACATTGCTGTTCATTTAATGCGTATATAAAGTGTCGTTTGAAAGTAAAAACCGGTATGTCACTATCAAACAACCTAATATTTGAACTGAAAAAGTTGTAAATGCCACAACTTGATTGTCGAACCAGATGGGGATCTACTTTTACAATGTTAGAAAACTTGATTAAAGAGAAATAATTTTAAACAAAATTAAATCTATTAAAAACAAATCAGAGACAGAAAATTTTGATATTGATTTATCGTTTTCGGAATTCATTGAAACCTATTGCAAAGTTTTCAGCCCCTTGCATAAATCATCACAAACATTTCAAGAGAAACAATTGCATTATACTAATTTCTATGCCCAATGGCTAAAGCTGAAAATATATATGAAAATATTAAGAGAATCAAGTCAGCAGTTAACAAAAACGATTGGAAATCAAATTACAAGTTCTATAGAAAAACGAACCGAAATATTGTTAAAAAGCAAATTTTTGGTTTGGTTTGTTTTTGGATCCCCGGTTTTAGCATATATTGTCCTTGCAACAAAAAATGACGCAATCATTCATTTAAAATCAATTTAGGACAGACTGTATAGTCTTAACCCCACATGCAATATATGCAAAACACCAAATTTCACCGCAAAGGGTATTAAAATTGTAGTCAGAAGTTTGCAACGCAGTGAAGGAGACACCTCACCTATTCTTGATCAGCATCACGATCTGAGTCCAAATACGTCTGTACGTCTGTCCTTCTGTCCGTCTGTCCTCCTGTATTTTTCTACGCAAACTAGTCTCTCAATTTTAAAGCTATCTCGCTAAACCTTTCCAAAAGTTTTGTAGTTATTGCACGCAGTATATAAGTCGGCACGAGCCGGATCGGGCGACAATATAGGATAGCTCCATACGAGAGATTGAAAAAAAATTCTCACCCCGTTGTTTTTGATCAGATCGACCTGATTTCTTCCATATGGGACATTTTTTTGCGTCACAATTCCGATTTTTGTCAAAAATTTTTTTCAAGTGTAGGAAGCAAAAAAAATAAAAAATAAAATAAAAATAAAATTTTTTTTTACAAAGTTATGATTTTTGACAATATCAATGGTTTTCTCTATCCTTGAACACGTTAAATCAATTATCTCTTATTCTATTAATAGTATCGTTACAATTTTTTTTTATTATTTAGTTTAAGAATTCGGCTTTCAAAAAGTATTTTTATTTTTTAATTTAATTTTTTATTTATTTATTAGTAACAATTTAATCATTATATCGACATTTCAATGCCGATCCCCACAACTTTTTTATTGTTATTGAAAAAATTATTTTATTATCCCTATGTTTCGCTTAATAAACAGTAAAAGGAATTAGAGTGGGGTCTTTATTAGATGAAGAGAAATTAAATAATTTTCGACTCTTCGCGCAGCGTGCGCTCCACATGCTGCCGCAGCGCGATCAATGTTATTTTATATCGTATTACCTAATAGAGACCCCATTCTAAATCCAAGTGTTTTTTCTTAGGAATGACGTATAGAAATAAATTGTAATTTTCCTAATTATATATGTTGTGGGGATCAGCTTTGAAACCATTAAATTGTTTATAATTTTTTTTATAACAAATAAAAAATTTGCAAGTAAAAAACTTGAAAAGCAATATTAATACCTATTGAATAAAAAAAGTTTTTATTATGTGACTACTGGAAGCGGAGATAATATATTTAATATATAGAAAAAATAAATGAAAAACTTTTTTTTTGAGTAAAATCCTTTTACACGTGTCGAATAAAATCTTCCATAAAAGCTGAAAAAATTTTTTCATTCAATTCTGAGATATGAAAAAAATTTTTTCTCGAATCCGTACGATTTGTAAAAGAATGTCCCATATGTCGTTTTCAAACGACTATTGAATTTCGGATTAAATTTTATTAAAATCGGATAACTCTTTCAAATAGCTGCCATAGGAAAGATCGAAAAATAGAAACTAGCAAAGCCCGGCGAACTCCGTTTCGCCACCGTAACGGCAACGTACCCTTCTAGCATTCACTGTACTGCGACCTATGTTCCAACAACGTCGGCTTCCAAACATGACTTTATAATTTCTCTACAAAATTTACTCAGTTCTAGACTTATGTACATATAATTATCTACTGAGTTTGCAATGTATAAGCAAAAAAATAAAATTATTAAAACATTAATATCGAAATCGATCCAGCCGTTTGGGAGGAGTTCAACGACTAACACACGTACAGAAGATTTCCCGTCACACGGGAACGCTGTCGAAATGTTACATAAAACGAAGCTATTACCAAAACCCCAAAAAACCTGACTTCACTTCAATACACCAAAATCACAAAAATTGAGTTAAGATGCTATGTTAGCGTCAGTGTGATAAGGTAGTAACTCACTTTATATGCGATTTTTGGTATGTCGAACAGGATTTAAGAGGATGAAAAATAGATGTTGGCCGATTCTCAGACCTACTCAATACGCTCACAAAATTTCATGAGAATCGGTATAGCCGTTTCGGAGGAGTATGATAACAAAAACTGTGACACGAAAATTTTATATATATAGAGATAATGGAAAAAAATTATAACGTGGTTGCTTTTAATCCGTTGAGCAAAATATGGAGCTTTGTAATAACCCTTGAGTCGGCATCTAGAAGAAAGCAAGTCGATCTGATCTAAAACAACGGCGTGAGAATTTTTTATTTTATTCTTTTGTATGGGAGCTATCTGATATAGTCGGCCGATCCGGCCCGTTCCGACTTATATGCGTGCAATAACTAGACAACTTTTGGGAAAGTTTTAGCAAGATAGCTTCAAAACTGAGACAGACGGACAGACGTATTTCGATTCAGATCGTGATGCTGATCAAGAATATGTATACTTTATGGGGTCTGAGGTATCTTCTTCACTGCGTTGCAAACTACTGAATGAAATTATAATACCTTTTGTTCTGCATGGGTATAAAATCATATAAAATGGATTCATGAAATATTACAAACAACATATTCGGAAAAAAACAGAATACTCACCAAACATGAACTTTTTCCAGCATAAGCAACAGCTTGCTCGGCCGATTTGTGTTTTTCCCGTTGCTCGATTTTTAAAGTCAAATATAAAGTCCGGATCGGAAAATAAACTGCTTGAGGATACAGGCGTCCAATCTAAATCAGGTAAAGAGCAAAAAAAATTATGTTAAACACAAAGCATTAAAAAAAGAAGAATAAGTCACGCATACATATGAACATTTTTGTCGGTTTTACCCGTCAAGTTAAGTTGACATGGCACGGGATATCGCATTTATTATACCCTTGTAGGGGGTATTTTAACGAGTAACCAGCTAAACCTCCCAGAACTACCCTGGAAGTGGTACGCTAACTGGGTGGCCACTGACTTTGGATTGCATTTATGTTGCAATCTAAACAACAGCCCAAATCGGGACAACGACCACTTGAGTCGTTGCCCCGCCGATTGCTGAAACTGCAACAGGATACCCCTACCCCTAGGCACCGTAGGGGTAAACCTTCGTTTAATCACTTTGTATTTTATGTAAAAGCATTCTGTGTATTAGCGTAAAGGAACTTATGTACACTCGGCAGCGGCGGCAACTTGGCCACCGCTGAAGAATATATGAATTCACTTAATCTCAACTCGTACTATTGAAATCATTTATAGGGATCAATCTACATACATATATCTGAACTTCGACAACACCAACCCTTGGAGGATACGTGGGCATTATCCTGGCACAGGATAGAACCATAACTGGCGCAGCCGAATCACGGACCGCGATGGACCCAATCTTCCTTTTATCTTTGTAAGACCACACACATTAACCAAAATTGGAATTTTTTATTCGCGCTGTCGTAAAAATACTTCACCTATATTTTTACGACAGCGCGAATAAAAAATTCCAATTTTGGTTGAAAATGAATATGAATATGAATATCGTGATATATATACAAAGCAAGCAAAGAAATTTTCGTTCGTTCCAAAAATAATAAAATAAAAACAAAAGAAGAATTAAAATAAATAATAATAAAGGCAGGCAAGGTTTAGAGGCAAAAAAAAATTTGTGTCGGATGTTTGAAAAGTGCAGTTTAATGTATTTAATGTAATATGGCAGAGTGCCGTCGACAAATGCATGTGTTTAAATATGAAATAAAGAGAAATGTTATATATACCCTGGTATTAATATTATACATTTGGTTTTAGTATGACTTAGGCTTCGGCCACGCATTGAGCGATGAGCGACGTTAATGAGCGATCGCTTTGAGGGAGGTGGCCACGCACTAAGCGACATCACTCGAGATGATTAGTTGTAAAAATTGTAAAAATGCCTTATTCTAGAGAGGTTCTACGAAATCTGTTTGAAAGCCGTTATAGTAAATATCGGCAATTAAAAAGAATACAAAGGCGTAGGTTTGGCGTTCATCCCATTAATCGATTGATTTTATTTTTATTTTATTTATGTACTTTTATGTATTTTTATTTTTGTACACTTTATGAGTGTCGTTCCATAAAACGAATCGGCTTTGAACAGCCGAAATTACAGTTTCCTCGCATATTTTTTGCATTGTTTGCATTTCGTCGCTCAGCGATGCACTAAAAATTAAAACCAATTCTTGCGCTGAGCGACGTCGCTCTGACGCTCAAGAACTTCGCTCGTCGCTCAGCGGCTGCGTGGCCACTCCAATGCATTCTCATAAGCTTTAATATTTTACGTCGCTCGAGAGAGCGTCGCTCAGTCGTTCAGTCCATGGTATAATAAGTACAAGGTAGTCTCGTCGGCTTTTTTTTCCCCCTGAGAGGGTGTTTTCCCCTAAGTGCGAAAGAAACAGAAGAAGATGATGTCGTAAAACCCTTATGCTGTGCACGGGGTTTAAAAAGGACTGTTATATGACAATGAATATTAATTGTTCCGTAATTTTTGGTTTTTACCCAAAGCTGCCCTTTAGGACTCGCTTGCATATTGTTCACAATTCAAAATATTTTCCTGCAATATTATGTATGTGCTTGCTGCAATAATAATAAGTATTTTTCATAAGCACACAAGGGTTAACGTTTTGAGAAAAAATCGTCCGCGGACAACCTCTCACTTCGAAATCCCGAGCGCACTGAACCATAGGCGGAAAAAACCCGAACGATTTTGCAGCCGACGAGACTACCTTGTATAATTCTACCATGGAATGTCCATGGTAGTATAATTCTACCATGGCTCAGTCGCTCATCGCTCAATGCGTGGCCGAAGCCTAAGACAGAGTGCCGTCGGAAAAGTTAAAAAAAAATATTATAAATATATTATATATGCGTAACTGCTACAGATTTGTTTATTAATTTTTAAAACTTACTTGACTTAAAAGGTTTAATATAACATCTCCATCAATTTGCTCCAAACAACACAGTAGCTGAGGTATCCATGGTAGCCAATAAGAGGGTGGAATTCCAGGAACATATTTTTCCAAAGTGTTAATTAGGGTTTTTGTATGGTTATCGTAAGACATAAACCATAATACTTTTGCGATATATTTTCTGGTTTTACTTTCTATTTGATTTCTGCTGGCATGTAAATAACATATTAATGCATTAGCAGCAAGTGAAATTTGTTTTTCGTTAAGAAAAATTTGTTCCATATATTCTCCCCACATAGCCCAAGCTTTTGTAAGACCATCATGAAGCTGTGCCGCGGCACTAAATGATTTTCCAGCCTCCTCGGTGCGTCCAATTTGGGCTAACAAAAGCCCTTTTAAAGCATAAAACTCAGCATTCATTTCACTAGTAAAGTATTTTAAATTTGTAGACTCGATAACTTCCAAGGCTTCATTTATTTCATTCTTTCCAGATGTTGATGGCATTTGAAGATAGCATTTCACCTGCTGCCGGATTTTCTGGCAAAAAACAAAATAAAAAAATACAGAAATATATATAAGCAACAAGAAAAATAAAACATCGGAAAAAAACACGTATATTTTTGGGCAGCCTGCGACCTCCATATTATAAAAAAAAAAATTAGCAACCAAGATCAAACACAATAATATAGTACATATGGGTGGAGAACATTTGTAAGAAACGTTTCATTTTGCCAATATTTGTAGGATTAAAAAAAGTGGTAATGCACAACATACGTAACTTCAATAGTATGAAACGTTTCATTTTGCCAATATTTGTAGGATTAAAAAAAAGTGGTAATGCACAACATACGTAACTTCAATAGTTTGCACTATTTGTTTTAGAAGCGGCTATGGCTTTAAAACAGAATTAGCCAAGAAGGGAGCACAAGAAAAATTCGTGCTCTGCATTATCAAAAAGCATGTAAAGAATTTGTATTGCAATGTTGAAAAGAAAAAAATCAAGATATTTTATGAATTACTATATAATCCACCTTCTATCTAACGTTGTTAAGGTCGTATTAACAAAAGGTAAAAAATGATCAAATATTTAAAATTACCTGAAAGCAATCGACGATTGGAACTGAGGGTATTGTATATATCCTGGACAATGTCTCCTGACAAACACCTGTCAAATTGTGTTTCCTTGCTATTTTTCCGAAGGAAATAATGGCTTGTGCAGATGCATGTACCCCCAACATTGTACTGCCTTGATCTGATTGTTGTTCGAGGTGTTGTGTTATTATTTGGTAGTGATGTTGTCGCCAAGTAAATATGTCACTCCAATGTGATAAATCGTCAGAAATAATTGGTAAGCGATTACGCCAGGTTTTTACAATTGCTTTCATATCGTGTAATGAATTATTGCGTGACTGGGCTAATCCTTGGTGAATTTGACTTGCTTCATGAAGTTCCATAATTTGTTGCGAGGCTTGAAGATATGGCAAATGAATATGCGAAACTATGTTGGGCAAACGCCGCCACTCGCGAATACAAAGGCTAGATGCAATCTCTACATATCGATCTACACTTCCAGTTTGCTTTTCATCTTGATGAAGAATACTTAAATATCCTTTGTAAAGGTTTATTTTAAAGCCTTGATGTTTTAAATAACATTGCTCCGTTTTACCCAAAGCAGTTCTCATTAAGTTCCAATCAGGTACGCGCCATGAACTTTCAAGAATTAAAAACATGTTTTTATCTTTATTTGTTTGAGCATAGTCTAGTAAAATATCCCACTGATTAAGTTCCTTAGCGCAGCGAATCCAATGCTTTTCCCACAAAGATAACTCGCTATTAACATATGTATTAACGACACCGTTATTTAAATCTTGTTTAAATTTTGTCATAGCTAAATCATAAGCTCCTTGGGCCTCTTCAAAAAATCCCATTTGTTCATATGAAACAGCTATATTTGTTTCTGGATAGTGTGCAAATTTAAGCCAGAGACCAGCCCAAAGATCTTCTTCATGCATTGAAGAATACAGTTTTGAAAGTGACTCAAATATGTTATTAGATTGCTGTATTTCTGATTCAGAAAAGTTTGTTTCCATATCATCAGTTTTATCTTTATTTTGAACAGATTGATTAACGGTCATATCTTCTAATACCAGAATTGCTCTGTGCCATAGGTTATGTGATTTTCCGAGGTAAGACAATAAATTGGGCGGAATATATATTGATGGCGCGCATTTTGTCAAGCTTTCTACAAAAGTGTTTAGAGTACTTGGAAAGCAGTCTTTTTGGTTAACATTTGTTCCAGAAGATAAAAATGGTATTAATTCTTTTGTGATATTATATCTTTGATCTTCCGAAAATATACTCCAAAAACGAGGAAAAATAGATAGCCATACACTTTGAGCTAATTGAGTATCAATATGACAAAGCTGTGATGTAGCTACGAGCATCTGATCAGTCCTTATGTTTCGATTTGCTTCTAAAAACTCTGCTTGCTTATAAACAAGTTCAGCTAATGTAACACGTCGAGTGGGTAATATTTGTTGACAATCCTCCTTTCGATCAGCAGTAAACTCAAGAGTTAAATCAATGTCAAACACGTCATCTTTGTCATCGACACTTTGAACGATATCAAAAGATTCTGACTGAGACGATAAGAAAGATACAAACGAATTTTCTTGTGTTTCCGCTGAGTTAGCGGGAATTACTGAAGTAATGCTGGGTATTTTCAGTTCTTCATTTGAACATTGAATTTGCATCATTGTATTGGCTGTTAAAATAAGCAATTCAATGCATTGTTTTATCCAATAATGTGACCCAATTGTATCCCATGCTTGAGAGCAAATTATATATAACAACCTATCATGAAGTCTACGACGCATTGAAGAGTCTAAAATCTCGAAAAATTTCGCCCGTATGTGAGGATTTTGAAAGCGTAAACCATTTAGAAATGCGCCTTCTAGTTTACTTGTTAATTCTGTCTGTTTAAGAATTTCATCTCTATATATATAATTTATAATTTCTAAGAATTGCACATTCACTTCGATATCATCAGTAAATTTTTTTTCAACGTTTTGCATTAACTTTACCAGCAAAGCTGATTTTTCCCGAATAGACGGAACTTGGGTCATAATATTTGGTTCTTTTGTTTTGACCCAATCGTCAAGCATTTTTATTATACATTTTATAATTTTAACTTCCGAGCTCTTTTCTATAAGGCTAACCAAAATTGTGCCGATAAAAAGCTTTCTGATCTCCACACTCATTATAAAGATCCTATTTTTGATTAGTTCCAATGAAAGCACCAACAGCTCCAAAGGCAAAGAGTTTGAATCAGAGGGTTGGTTAATAACATTATTGCCGCTTATAGTGTTAATATGATCCTTTGTAAGACGGTTTAAAACTCTTATAAACTGGACCAAAATTCGATCGATAAAACTGTGATTATTTGTGGTGCACGCTTTCAAAATCATCAGGGTTCCAAACAGCGATGAAGCATTCGGTTGTGGACTCCTTTCGTAAAATGTAAGGTTCTCAGCGATCATTTTACTTACAGCGTTATACAATATTTCAAGATCATCATGTTTATGTTGCGTGTCTGGTGGAAAAATAGCCATAAGTCGCGTTAAAAAGATATGCATTAATCGCACAATCCGAGTATTTTGATGAATTATACATAAAGACAGACCCCTTTGAACTGGCCTTACAATTGACACCAACTGTTCAGGACTTAATATAGTCGTTAAGAATGTTAAAAAATCGATTCCAGTACAAATGTTGTTTAAGTTGTGATGAGGAGTTTCCACAGTTGCAAGAACTTTGTCAAGCCAGTTGAGCTTAATATCAAATGGTTGAGGCCAAATCTCGGGACGCATTGCCATTTTTAAGAGCATAACACATCTAAAAGAAAATAAACCGAACCGTATTAAAAAAATGTAAGCTTACTTTAATAAGTCGAACTACGATTTCTCTTAGAATTAAAAGGGAAGCCGCGATTTATACGCAAATGTTTAAGGATTGTTTAACTTTGAACTGTTAGTCGGTCGTTATTCCGAAATATATACTTAAAAAATTTTTCCATCCGGAAGCATGATTTTCGATCGTACTGGTGATTAGCCATTAGCGACTTATCCTAGCGATGGGGTTGCCACATGGCGCCATCTAGGAGTGACGAAAGTTCTATTATTGTGCCCATAGTAAACGTGGACGAGGGGGTGTGCGGATCCGGGGAGCCGAAATTTGTTACTATTGTTAAGGCCAAATAAAGGGCTATATTGTATATTTAATTACATGTTATTGTTCAACTTTTGAAGAGTATAAGAAAAAAAATTATTAAAAAATATTTAGAGATAAGTCTGTGGCGGTTAAACTTCCGAAGCGCCTAAAAAAAAGTTGTTTTGCGGTGAACATCATAGGGCGTTAACGGATCATCTTAAAAAAAGAAAGGTGATATGCGTTGTAAAGATAATGAATTTCCCGAGGTAATCAGGAAGAGTTTTGAAAGAAGAGTTTGGAAAGCAAAACACCTCAGATACCATAATGTAAAAACATTTTTAATCAGCATCACGATTTGAATCGAACTAGAAGTTCATCTGTATGCTATCTAGTCATTCAGCTTTAAAGCAATCTCGCCGAATGGTATTATTTTGAATGTGGTCTACTATCACATTTAATCTTCAAAAAAAAAAATAATAAACTCCAAAAACGGGGAAAAATATAATTAATTGAGTGTCAATATATGTAGCTATGATATAGCTACAACCATCTGATCGGATATTGTGCTTAGATTTTTTCTAAAAACTGTGTTTAAATCTTCATTAAAAAAAAGCAACTCAATGTACTATTTATTAATGTTAACCAATTTTATCCAATTATTACGTCTTTTTTTTATCATACAGGCATGATTCGTCATTCATGAGAAATCTTAAATCCACAACGATGTTATACTACTGTTCCATTAATTTCATGGTATATTAGTTCGCATCTTATATATATATTTTTTTTTTTTTTTTTTTGAATTTAATCGTGATAGACAGCAACCACTTTATTTCTGTTAATTCTGTATACATTTTTCGACCTCTCCTATGGCTATATGATATAGTTAACCAATCTTTAAGATTTCTTTTCCCAATTTAACGGTAGTTAACTCAATGTTCTAAAAATCATTATTGTGGGATAAAAACAACGACATTGAAGTCTAAGGTGTCTCGCTTACTGCTTTGCAAACTTCTGACTCAAATTATAATGTATTTCACCATACATAAAGAAAATTCTACTACCCCTGGAGTGGTCCATTATGGGTAACTGTATTTACATTACCTTCGAGATAAACTCTCCCCAGGCGATATTATAGAGGCTTGTGGATCATTAACCTGGCACGCTAAGCGCACCAAAAAATTTAATACCGTATCGCAGTAGGACTTATCGATAGAGCGCAGAATGTCATCAGCCTTATTATATGATCCAACACCTGCAAGAATTAAAAGTTGTACAAAATTAGAAGTAGCTTTATACAAATATTTAGCATGTTTACTAATGGTATAAATTAACAAGAAATGAAGCTAGCTTCGGCTTGCCGAATACGTCGTCATCAAATACGTCGAACAAAATACATAAAGGCTAAGCAACATCGAAGCTATGACGATTTTTCATTATTTGTCTATATTTTCGACGATTGTTCATATGACAGCTATATGATATAGTCGTCAGATTATTATGAAATTTTATACCGAAATTCAAGAGCCATTAGAAAACTCTATATTCCAAAAATAATGCTTGTCTGATGAAAAAGAACGATGTTATCATTTTTTTTCCGTTAATTCTATTTAGATTTTTGATCTTTCCTGTGACCTATGATATAATTGTCCGATTTTTATAAATTTTTTTTTTAATTCAAGGGCTGTCAAAAAACTCGATATTCTAAAAATCATGCTCATTGGATAAAATACAACGACGTTATAAATTGATTTCCGTTAATCTATTACATAAAAATAAGTCGGATCTTCCTTCCTGGCGCTATAACTCCAGAACATAGCGAACCGATTTTAATGCGGTTTGTTGTGTGTGAAAGAGCCCCTCCCAAGGGGTTTATAGATCATAAAACTTTCACATATGCGCTTACACACTAGCATAAGGAAAATGGACTCAATTTGCAGGGAATTACTGGCAACGTACGATACGTATAACGCTTCGATTCAGTATTTACTTTGGATTCACTTTCATTAAGTTAGAGAAGTTCAACTAAATAACACTTCGTTTTTATACCCTTGCAGAGCTAAGAGTATTAAGTCGAATCGGGCCGGATCGGCCAATTATATCGGATAGCTCCCATACGGGAGAATGAAATAAAAAATTCTTACGCGGTTGTATTTGATCAGATCGACTTGATTTTTTCCAGATGGCGTTTTATAACTACCATTGAATTTCGGATTAAATTTTATCAAAATCCGATAACTCTATTTTATAGCTCCCATAGGAAAGATCGAATAATTTATATATTAATAATGGAAAAAAATATAACGTTGTTGGTTTTAATACGACGAGCATGATTTTCAAAATAATTACCCTTGAAACGAGAAAAAAGTTTGATTAAAATCCGGCATAGATCAAAAAATAACGGAAATAAAATTATAACATCGTTGTTTTTCATCAGACAAGCATGATTTTTGGAATATAGAGTTTTTTACCGACTCTTGAATATCGAATTAAATTTCATAAAAATTTGACAACTATATCATACAGCTGCCATATAAACAATACTCGAAAATAGATAAATCGTCATAGCTTCGATGTTGTTTAGCCATTATGTATTTTGTTCGACATATTTGGCAACTGTAATGGTATATAAGCTTCGTTTTGCCGAAGGTAGCTTCCATTCTTGTTGTAATCGAAATGAATTCATTACTGTTGTGAAATGAATAAAAGTTTTCCTTTTCATTAATTTTGGACACTATTTGATCAAGATGTGACATAGCTTTGGCGTTAGCATCATCTAGAATTGCGACGAACATTCTAGATGGCGGTCGTTCTGCGCTTAAGTTGCCACTCAAATTAAACACAATCGATACTCCAACATGCAATATTTCCCGATCCAGTGGAATAGGTAAATTGTTGATGCAATGCAAGCTCATTGTTTGGGATGAGTGCACAATGACACATAAGAAATCACTTGTAGCACTTAAGGAGGAAAAACTGGGGATCTTACAAGCTTGCTCTACAACAAAGAGATCAGGAAGGCCAAACGGAAGAACTATAAAGACTTCTGCAATTAGCACAGCCACGAAGGGGCAAGATTGCATAAGGCTATGGGCAAAACTGCACCAGAAAGTAATCTTGCCCTAAAGAAAGGTATTAACACCTACACTTCCTACGATAGGGATAAACTAGCATTACTCTTTGAAACACACTTCCCTGGATGCTCACCCCTCGAGGAGGATGCGTCCACCCCAGTGTAGGTAGTGTCCACTCCGAGACACCCCAGACCGAGTGCTAGAGAACTGACAACTGACAAGTCTCTAGTCGCTCCGGAGAGACTTAAATGGGTAATTGGGACCTTCCAAATATTTAAGTCACTAGGTCTGGATGGTATCTCACAATCATTTCTGCAGCAGGGACTGGGTTTACTCCTAACCCGCTTAAGGAAACTAATGTTGAGTAGCCTTAACTTCGTTTTGTCTGAAAAAACTGGAAAAGCTGCTAGACTACCATATTAATTCACAGTTCTCAAACACTGTCCGCTGCAGTCCACGCAGCACGCATACAGGGCAGGTCGTTCAACAGACACAGCACTGCACCAACTGACGATGCTGTCTTCGCGGCCCTCACTAGGGGGAATATTGGTGCGACAACAAGAAGGTAGATTGGAGCTTTGCTAAGATCCAGACAGGCAATGGCGACTATTGGCAATAGCACAATGATCGTTGCAACAAGCAGAGGATGTCCGCAAGGTGGAGTTTTATCCCCTCTACTGTGGAATCTACTACTAAGGAAACTCGCTGATAGAGGAATATAATGCCAGAGCTATGCCGGTGACATCGTATATCAGCTATTATATTATATATTATTAATGGGAGTAGCTATTAGCCCATGCTAATAGGTACTCCCATTGCAATAAGCCGGGAAGTTAAGTACATCGGCGTCACCTTCGATAAGAAGCTTACCTTTGCAACCCACAAGAAAAAAACCGTTGACAAGTGCCCCAGGGTGCTCTTCACTTGTCGGAAAATTGCAAGTAAAACATGGGTGACTTCACCCCACCCCAAATCATTATATGGCTATATCTTATAATTGTGAGGCCAATACTCACATATGGCTCAGTAGCTTGGGGTAAATGAGCGAAGGTCATTACCGCAAAGAAACAGCTGCAAAGATTGGCCTGCATATGTATGGCAAAAGCAATGAGGACCTGTCCCACTACGGCACTGGAAGTTCTCATGCTGCAGGGGAAAGCCACCCTATTAAGAATCACTTCTGAGGCTAATGGCAGTCACCGCTGCTTCATCTCTAGGGATGCAGCAAAACTACTATTCGAACTTCCCTTGAGTTCATTTCCCAGGGACGAAATGGCAGTAGAAATCATCTTCGAAAAGAATTTCTTCGCTCATTTAAGCAACAAGAAAAATGGACCACCATGAAGGGAGTGAACTCCATGGCAAGTCACACCATAGCGTGGTATACGGACGGGTCCCTAACGCACCAAGGCACTGGCGCCTTGGAGTAATAGGACCATGAATCAAGTAACATGAATCTTTAGTCCAATATACCAGCATTTTCCAAGCTGAGGTAAATGCCATAGGACGGTGTGCGGAGCTCAACATGACGGGAGGGATCACAAACAAGGACATTGTTATCCTTTCGGACAGTCAAGCGGCAATTACTGCACTCTGCAGTAATGAAATCATCTCGAAGCTTGTTCGAGAAGTAAGAAAAAAGTTAAACCTTCTGCGCAGCAACAACAGGCTGTCACTAAGATGGATCCCAGGACATAAAAACATATCCGGAATCGAACTAGCCGCAGGCTAGCTAAATTAGGGGCAGAACGTCCCCTTTTAGGACCCGAGCCTTATTGGGGCATAGGCAGACACACAATCAAAGATTATCTGAGAAAGGACGAGGTACATATGAGGCAAGCCTGCTGGGAGAACACCACAGGCCAAAGACAAGCCAAAATCCTCATCGTCAATTATGACATAAAAAGGTTCAAGAAACTCATACCATTAGGGAAGAACTCACCCAGGGTAATTACCGGTATACTAACCGGACATTGCAGACTAAGGATTCACCTATTTAAAATAAGAATTGTAGGCAGCAAAACATGCAGACTCTGCGGTAGCGAGGATGAAACCTCCCCTACACATAATTTCTGACTGCCCAGCCTTAGCAGTCAGAGAAGTAGAACCCTCGGTTCCCGGTCTCTTACACTTGGGACCTCCGGAAGCATCGACTCAACAAAGCTCGTTGACTTTATCGGAGGAACCGGGGTTGAAGGGTGAGATTTAAGCTCAGATAGGGGGTACAATAGATCCAGTTGGGTCAAGGTAGTCAATGTAAGCATTACCTATTTGCAACACGTTTCTCTCTTTCGAAAACTTGCCGATTACTTACGAAATAAGACCAGCAAACATGGTGCACGCGTTATTGATTTACCCTAAGTTCGATGGAGAACGCACAATAAACAAGACTCAGTCAGTCAACGTTGTTAAATCCAAAATCTGAAAAGATCATGTCATTTAAAATGACATATAGTTTTTTTCCATGAGCTTCCACGTTAAAAAATTACAATCGATTGAAATGCAGTTCACAAAAGCAGAAATTCGGGCAATTTTGAAATTTTATTTTGCACAGGGAAAAACTGCTGCGTAATCTCGCAGACAGATTATTGCTGTCTTAGGAGATAACAAACTTTCGATTCAAACCGCCGAACAGTGGTTTAGGCGATTCCGAAGTGGCAATTTTGATACCGAAACTTCAAAGCCTTCCGGACGACCAAAGACCGTTGATACGGATAAAATCATGGAAATAGTGGATCGTCATGTGACTTTTATAAACATCGCAGAGGAGCTGCAGCTAAGCACGGAAACCGTCCATAGGCATTTAAAGTCGAGAAATTTAACAAAAAAGCTCGATGTATGGCTGCCTCATGAGTTATCCCAAAAAAACCTTTTCGACCGTGTGTCAATCTCCGAATCTTTGTTGCACCGTAATAAACTCCACTCATTTCTGGATCGGTTAGTCACTGGTGATGAAAAATGGATCACATATGACAACATAAAGCGTTAAAGATCCTGGTCGAAACACGGTGAGTCGTCTCAAACGTTGGCAAAGTCAGGACTGACGGCTCAGAAGGTGTTGCTGAGTGTATGGTGGGATATCAGAGGAATTATCCATTATGAAGTGTTGCCCTATGGCCAAACCATCAATTCTGACCTCTACTGTGAACAACTGGAGCGATTAAAGATTGCACTTGAACAGAAGCGGCCAGCCATGGTGAATCGTAAGGGCTTTGTGTTCCATCATGACAACGCCAGGTCCCATACATCTCTGGTGACGCGTCACAAGCTACGGGAGCTTGGTTGGGAAGTGTTAATGCATCCACCTTATAGTCCGGACATTGCCCCAAGCGATTACCATCTGTTTTTGGCCATGCAAAATTTTTCGATGGACAAAAATTGAGTTCAGGGAGGATTGTGAAAATCGAATTGCCGAGTTTTTTGCCAGTAGGAACAAGGACTTCTTTAGGAGAGGCATATACAAGTTACCATCAAAATGACAGAAAATCATCGTTCTCTTCGACATATTGCACTTAAATCGGACAACGCTAACTATGTTTAAATCGTCGTCAAAAGTTAATAAAGAAACCGGTATGTCATTACCAAACAACCTAATACTTGGTCAACAGACCATTATTAGCACGCCAGACTATTGCTCTAGACATTCCACCGCGTCCTACCGTGAATGAGAATCCAACCTATTTTTTTAAATCACTACAAAAACTATAATCATCTTTCAATCTTAATCTGTCAAAAATTTCGACGGCAATACAAACAGATTTTCGAGAATCTAAATTTCACGTTTTTAAGTCAAGGACCTGATTAAAGCCTTAAATGTCTATTATTCTTATCTTTTAAATAAAACTAATTTTATGACATTTGGTATACTTTCCTTGCACTGTTGATTCTCGAGTAGTATCAACCGACTTCTTACGAGTTTCGACAGATTCAATTCCTTGACGTTTTATTGAGCTGTCCTGATTTAACTCTTCCTCAGTACCATCAACTTTGTTCTCTCTTTCGTCCTCTTTGATACGATGAAGCTCCCATTTTATTATAACTTCAGCTAGATCCACAGCTAATTTTTTATGTTCGATAGATGCAGTAGGAGGAAAACCCAAGCGCTGCATATAATTAATTAAGTGCTGCACCAGTTGATGCCTAACAGGAAAATATACCTGTAAAACAAATCTTATAAATACAAGTATGGTACATAAAAAATATTTTTTCTTACTTTATAATGACGAATTATAAGTTGTAATATATGAAACAATTGCTGCATTGCATGACCTTCTTCAACGATTATTTTTTTTGTCCAGTGTGTAAGCATGGTGTTACCGTCTTCCATTCGCAATGGCATAGCTGGTGTCAGTACATCAAGTGCTTGCTTAACTATAGATCTGGCCTCTAATGCATGCCCTTTTAGCAAGGAATGAAATACTTGCAAGACTATTTTCTTATGAATCGCCAATCTAGCAATTATATGTGAAAGCAATAAATGACCATGATATCGCGCAGTGGGGTCCACCGAATTTTTACTTAGTAAACAGGGCCAAGCAAAGGTCATTAGACGCCTAAGCTTATTACCTTGCCGCTTATTATTAGCATCTCCATCATGTATGTGCTGAGATGCGCGTTCTACTAATAAACATGCCAGCTGTAACAGAGCAATTCTTACTGCATCATCATATTGTTTATCCGGATCAAAAACTTTGTTAATAAATACCGAAACAATATTTTTTTCATCTTCTTGGTATGGTGTAGGGGGAGCTCCAATAAGTTTATTTCCTTCCCCTTTGTCAAAACTTACAGTAAAACATGGAATTATGACAGCCGTTATAATCTTAGCTTTTAGCTCTTCTGAAATGTTGTTGTTATTAAAATTTTCGACAAAATAAAAGAACGCGTTTCTTTTCCAATTAACGGTAAAGCTTTGGGCAACAGTGTTTTGCAAAAAATCTCGCAAGAAATAGACATCAGGTATAAATCGAAAGCATAATGCTCTTAATAATTGAAAGAGAAGTTCAATGTCATTTGTGTTGTTAGAAAAATAAAGTAGTAGTATTTTTCCAATTAAATGCCATAAGTCACAAGCTACATTTTCAGAGCCTGTAAAACATAAATTACTCTGCCAACAGTTTTTTAGGGCGTCCACAATGTCTTGCCTTGTTGGAATCCATTGATCGTCTAATTCCATTAACGTAAAAATAATTAAAACTGTTTGGTGCTGAACTTCGTATTTATGAGTTTGGGATGACTCTGTTTTAAAATTTAAGTAATATAATAATCTATTATATTTACTACTTTTGATAACTGCACAAAATGATGCTCCCAGTTCGTGCTTCAAAAGAAATATAAAGAATCGATTCCATTGAGGATCTATCATTATAGATTCCATTAAAAATAAATCTACTGTTTCTGCCGGAAATTTTTGTAGAAACATAACAAGCGCTTCTCGATATGGGCTCGATGCCTCAATCATTAGGTTTTTTTCAGTTTTTAAGACCAGTTGGCACAATTTTTCAATAAATTTTACTGACGCTGAGATATGATAAAACATTTCGATAAGTGTAACAATTTTCTGTTCATACTCTCCACCTTTTGATGATGCAAAAAAGTTGATATTCGGATTTGTGCACTTATAGTCTCCAACAAATATTTCTATAATTTTTGAGCAATGTTGCAATATTTGCTCACTTAACTTCTCATTAAACAATTGAGGAAATAGTCGGGTAAAATAAGATAGCCGTTTAATTGCTGGTATATTTAAATTCCTGTGATCTCCCAATTTTAAAAGCAGTGGGCGCATTGCAGATTGTATCTGAAAATATAAGCAAACATATAATTCCACAAAAATGCACAGATATATTTAAGGCTTAGGTCACCGTAGAGCACAAAACATGTGCTCTTTTTATGATTTAGAAACACTAATTTGGATTTTTCTAATTGAATTAAAATAATCCCATATCCCATATTACAGAGAGTATTGTATTATAGTTTTAGTCAGAAGTTTGCAACGCAGTGAATGAAATACCCCATCAAATATATATACGTATATTCCTGATCAGCATCACGATCTGAATCAAACTAGACGTTTACTACTGTCCGTCAGTCTGTTTCTATGTAAACTAGTCCCTCAGTTTAAAAGCTATATTGTTGAAAGTTTACAAAAAGGGATGTAGTTATTGCACACTGTATATAAATCGGGACGGGCCGGATCAAGCGACTCTATCGAATAGCTCCTCCTAGCTTATTTTCTTGTTTCAGTTAATTTTCGTTAATTCTGTACAGATTTTTCGATATTTTCTATGGCAGCTATAAGAGCCAGTTATCCGATTTTAATAAAAACTTTAATTCGAGATTCGGTAGTACTTAGAAAGCACTATCTGGAAAAAATCAAGTCGATATGATCAAAAACAACGGCTTTAGAATTTTAAAACTGAGAGACTAGTTTGGGCAGAAACGGACAGGAGGACAGACGTACAGTATTTCGATTCAGATCGTGATGCTGATCAAGAATATATATACTTCATGGGGTCTGAGGTGTCTCCTTCACTGCGTTGCAAACTTCTGGCCAAAATTATAATACCCTTTGCACTACAAGGGTATAAAAAGAACAAACTGGCTAAAGTATAAGAAATATGTAGGCTCCCACATTAAGCTCGAACCAAATATATCCTGCGAAACTGATATCGAAAACTCACTCAAACAATTTACGGAAGTCATGTCCCATGCTGCAGAAGCCGGAGCCAATGGCCACTACTATCTCGACAAAAAAACGAGGATCCACGTGCCTACATAAAAAACTTCCCCCATCTGCAACAAGTTTCCCCTTACCAGTCGAACCCGATCCGACATCCAAAACAGGAATATGGGCGCGAAGCGAAGATCTTTGCCTCTCACTTACAAAATGTCTTCAAACCCCTTCTGCCAATAAATTAATTCACTATCCCGAACATCCCAACCCTAAAGCCGTCCTCCCCGATTACCTTTAATTTAAATTTTAATTTTAAACACCATCAAAAAACAGCTTAACCCCAAAAAACTAGTGGCTATGACTTAATTTCGCCCAAGAGGATAATTGAATTACGATCCCTCAACCAGGCAAAAATAAATCGCAACCGTCTTCCTACAGACTCATCAGTCTACTGCCTTGCCTATCAAAGTTGTTTGAAACTTTACTACTGTCATATCTACAAACATACCTTGAAAGAAACAGTTTGATTCCCTCCCACCAGTTTGGATCCAGAAAAAGCATGGGACTATCGAGTAGGTAAACCGTATAACATCTGAAATACGTGCCTTTGAGTACAGAGAATATGCAACGCTCTGTTTCTAGATGTATCCCAAGAGTTTGACCGCGTTTAGATCGACTGTTTACAGGTTTACAGGATCAAGATCTTCCTACCACAAAACACTCACAATTTGCTTTGGTCGAACCTCACAAACGGGCTATTCATTGTCAGGTGTAAAAACTTTACAAGTGGAGAGTACAACAAAGAAACTGATGTTCCCCATGGGAAGGGTACTAGGACTAATCTTGTACATCTGTACAAATCAGACACTCTCACAAGGCGCCAAACGGTTTGGCTTTTGCATCACAATAATGGCCCTGCTCCCTGATCTTTACAGAAATAATATTTTACTTTCTATTGCTTTCTTTCTACTATTAACTGAGTTTTGTCAGTGTAAACGACTCCAGCGGCGAAGAAAAGGATTTGAATCTTTGCTTCTCTCTTACAAAATGCCATACACTTACAAAACCCCCTCCGCCAATAAATCAATTCACTATCCAGAACGTCCCAACCCTTGAGCCAATTTCAAACACCATCAAAAAATAGCAGAGCCCCAAAAAAAAAACAGCCGGCTATAACTTATTTTCGCCCAAGATGATAGTTGATTATATGTGCTGCCTTTGAGCACAGAGAATATTGCTGCGTCCTGTTTCTAGAGGTATCCCAAGTGTTTGACCGCGTTGGGATCGACGACCTGGTTTACTGAATCAAGATCTTTTTGCCAAAAAAACACTCACAATTTGCTTAGGTCGTACCTAACAAACAGGCTATTCATTGTAAGATGTAAAAACTTTGCAAGTGAAACGCAAAACATTGAAGCTGAAGTTCCCCAAGGAAGCGTACTAGGACCAATCTTGTTCAGACATTTCCACAAGCCGCCAACCGTTTATATTAACCAATTATCTGCCGCTTAAGATCTGCAAATACAGCAAAAAAAAGTATACAAAACTACCTAGTGGCGGTAGATCGATCAGTGGCTAGCTGAATGGCGCATACAAGTCAACGAGCAGAAATGTAAGCACATGAAGTTTGCTTTCAACCGAGGCACTTGGCCACCGCTAGCCCTAAATAATACACTAATTCCACAAGTGGACGAAGTCACCTACCTTGGTATCCATTTAGACAGGCGACTTACCTAAAGGAAATACATAGAAGCTAAGCCTAAAACTTAAGGCCAGCAGTTTCCATTGGCTAATTAACCGCTCGGCTCTCCAAATGGACTATAAAGTACTAATTTATAACTCCTGTATAAACAAATCTGGACCTACCGCTCCGAACTTTGAGCCGACGCAAGTAGCAGCAGCATAGAAATCAGCCACGTGAGCAATTAAAAATTCTGAAAGCAATCACAGGGACCCCTAAGTGTATTCGCGATTTCAACATTCATAAAGATCTGGAAACAAAACGAGTTAAGGAAGAAACCGAAAGCAAACAAATGAACTATAAATACTAATATCACACCCAAAACTACTAGCGGAACAGCTTAACAGGATTAGTGGCCATACACGATTACAGAGAAACGACCCTCCCCCTGCCCCACCTTGGACATTGATACAATTTAATCACCATTGCTAAGTTAAGATTTTAATACTTATTGATAGTCTCTTAAATACTTAGAGAAAACTAAATAAATAAATTAAATGTTAAAAAAAAAAATTAATGTAGAAAAAGATTTATAAATATAATTTGTCTATTTTCTTTTTAAAAAATCAAACTATCAGAAAACTTACCTTTTCTTTCTCCAGTGTAACTCCAGTAATGAAATGCTTCATACAAAGGTACGCAGTTTCTTGAAGCTCTGATTTATCATTTTCCATGACTTTGAAAATAATATTTATAATTTTATCTTTGTATCCGATATCACTGATATAATGACAAGCTGCAAGAGCTCTCAATGCACTGGTTCTCAGTGGTATAAGGTTCGGAACATTTTTGTAACAGTCCAGCTTTGCCAAAGTGGCATCTTCGGCTTCACTTAGTGTAAGCAACTCGTGAAAAAATAGTTTGTGGTAAGTGTTCGTCAAATCTGTAAAGTTACGTATGTGATTTATTTAAACGTTATATAAAAACAAGAAAGGAAGCTAGCTTCGGCGAGCCGAAGCTTATATACCCTTGCAGTATATATGTCAAATATGTCAAACAAAATACATAAAGGCTAAACAACATCGAAGCTATGACGATTTTTCAATTAATTTTCCATATTTTCGACTATTGTTCATATGGCAGCTATATGTTATAGTCGTTCGATTTTTATGAAATTTAATTCGTTATTCAAGAGTCAAAAGACAACTTTATACAAAAAACAATGATGTTATTATTTTATTTTTTTCCATATTCTGAAAATTATGCACATCGGATTAAAAACAACGACGTTATAATTTTTAAATAGTTATAATCAGGGCTAACAGAGTTATGTTCTTAAAAACGTAAAAATATGTATGGATTTATGGACGAAAAAACAGATAAATATGGACGAAAAAGTTGACAAATATGGAATAAAATGGATAAATATGGATAAATAAAGGCAGTATAGACGAAAAAAGGGATAAATAAAGGTATAAAAATTGATAAACGTAGACGATTATATCGATCATATTAACTTTTTATGACAATGAACAGTTAGAAATCGCTACAAACAAAAGTGCGCCGTTTGTCTCAAAGATCATTGCAGAACAATATGACATGTTGTGTCAGATTAGTAAAAACAAAACTACGGCGTTTGTCACTCAATATGTGTTATATGATGAAAATGAACGCTCAACATCGCAAGATGTAACAGGAGCATTTGCATATGCATTCAGTTCAGCAGGTGATAAATTCAGGATAAGATCGTCACCTTCTGTAGAACTATCAATGAGATTTCCTGCTAACATTCGCGATATGTCCCGAAGAATTCGCAGATTCATAATTGTTACATTCGATGATACATATTTTGATTGATTAACGACGCAACGATGTTTTGTTTACATTATTTATTATCGAGTATAAGGCAAACGACAGAAATTTCATAATATTTGAGCCAAAACTATCTTTCTATAGGTTTTCAGACACTTTAATGCTCAAAATATGGATTTATTGAAGTGATTGTGTAAAATATGGATTTATAGGAAAAAAGGCGAAAATATGGAAATAAATATTTTTTCATTTAAAAACATAACTCTGTTAGCCCTGGTTATAATATACATAAAATTTTTGCGTCACAGTTTTTGTTACCATAACTCCAAAACGGCTATGCCGATTCTCATGAAATTTTGTGAGCGTATTGAGTAGGTCTGAGAATCGGCCAACATCTATTTTTCATCCTTTAAATCCAGTTCGAAATAACAAAAATCGCATATAAAGTGAGTTACTACCTCATCACACTGACAAACACACGCTAACATAGCATCTTAACTCAATTTTTGTGATTTTGGTGTATTGAAGTGAAGTCAAGTTTTTTGGGGTTTTGGTAATGGCTTCGTTTTATGTAACATTTCGACAGCGTTCCCGTGTGACGGGAAATCTTCTGTACGTGTGTTAGTTATTGAACTCCTCCTAAACGGCTGGATCGATTTTGATTTTAATGTTTTAATAATTTAATTTTTTTGCTTATACATTGCAAACTCAGTAGATAATTATATGTACATAAGTCTAGAACTGAGTAAATTTTGTAGAGAAATTATAAAGTCATGTTTGGAAGCCGACGTTGTTGGAACATAGGTCGCAGTACAGTGAATGCTAGAAGGGTACGTTGCCGTTACGGTGGTGAAACGTAGTTCGCCGGGGTTTGCTAGTTTCTATGTATATTTTTTGATCTTTCCTATGGCAGCTATAAGATAGAGTTATCCTATTTTGATAAAATTTAATCCGAAATTGAATAGTAGTTAGAAAACCCATCTGGAAGAAATCAAGTCGATCTGATAAAAAGTAACGGCCCGATATATACTGCGTGCAATAACTACACAACTTTTGGGAAAGTTTCAGCATGATAGCTTTAAAACTGATAGACTAGTTTAAAGAGAAAAGACAGACTGGAAGACGTACACACCTCGTTCAAAAAGTATCGCGAATTTTGTGTTTTTTCATATATTATTTATTTATTCATGAATATCTATTTTTCCCCCTTCAAAGTAATCCCCATGAGATATTATGCACTTGTGCCAACGGTTTTTCCAATCTTCGAAGCACTTCAAAAAATCATTTTTTTTTATCTTGTTCAGCTCCTCCTTCGATGCCGTCTTTATCTCGTCAAGCGTAGCGTAACGTCGTCCTTTCCTGGGCCTCTTCAGTTTAGAAAACAAGAAAAAATCACAGGGGGCCAGATCTTGGGAATACAGTGGCTGCGGCATCATTAGTGTGTTGTTTTTGGCCAAAAAGTCGCGCACAAGCAACGATGTGTGAGCAGGGGCGTTATCGTGGTGCAAAACCCAATTTTTTTTCTTCCACAAATCCGAGCGTTTTTGGCGGATTGCTTCGCGCAAATTGCGCATAACTTGCAGGTAATATTCCTTATTGACCGTTCTTCCCTGAGGCAAGAACTCATGGTGCATCACGCCATTGCAATCGAAGAAAACTGTCAGCAACTGTCTGTTGTTGAAGTGCTCGGGCGTCCGGCACGCTCTTCGTCGTTCACATCTTCTCGGCCTTCTGAGAACATTTTGTACCACCGATAAACGTTGCTTCGGTCCAATGTAGCTTCTCCGTATGCCACAGTCAACATTCGGAATGCATCCACGCACTTAATTTCGTTTTTCACACAAAATTTGATACAGGTTCATTGATCCATTTTTTTGAATAAGTAAAAATCGAAGACGATCTAAAACACGTGCAAGCAAAGAAGCTGTCAACAATTAAGTGAACATTCAAAATGGCCGAGCTTGTCGGCATATGTGAGAGACATGAGTACCAACATAACGCCACAAAAAATTGAAAATCAATACGAAGTAGGTAACCCGTGAAAATTCAAAATTCGCGATACTTTTTGAACACACCTCGTATTTCGATTCTGATCGTGATTCTGATCAAGAATATATATACTTTATGGGGTCTGAGGGTCTGAATTATAATGCCCTATGCTCTGCAAGGGCAAAGGGAAACTAATATACCCTTGCAGTCATCAAACATGTCGAACAAAATACATAAAAATACACAACATCGAATCTTTGACGATTTTTCTATTAAGGCAGGTTCTGACCTTGTGAGGCCGAAAAATAACACTTTTTTAAAAAAAATTTGGTTAAGAAAACGATTAAAGATAAAAAGTTGAAATTTTTAACTTTTTTTGAAAACATATTTATTTTGCGAAAAAAAATTAAAAATTGAAAAATCAAAAAAGAGGCGGGAGGGGGCGTTACTCAGTGGCGGCATGTCGGCGAAAAGGTGTCCCGCTTAGGAAGTGATTCAGCCAAAACGGGTATTCGGAAATACAAAAACCAAAAAGATTCTGAAAGTGTATAGTACTGTGCATAAAAAGAACTAGGATCAGAAAAAAAATAGCAACTTTTGAAAAAAATTACGATTTTCGTGTTTTTTTTTACTAATTATTTCGGCAAATAAACAGTTTTCAATATTTTTGGATAGTCCTAGTTCATTAGTTAAAAGAAACAATAAGGAACAATTTAAAAAAATTTGATGGCAATTGGTTACCCTTAACGCCTTCAATTACTTCCGGAAGGTCCGAAAACATGGTTCCGAGATAAACGCGTTTAAAGTTTTGGCTTTACAAGACCGGTACTTGACATGTGCGCCTGTAAAGGCCTCTAAGTTTTGTAATTTTAAAAATTTTGATCTGAAATTTTTTAAGCACATTTTTGGAGCATATATCTATACGATAAGCAAAAAACAAATCGATTTTTTTCGCCACAAGGGTAGAACCTGCCTTAATTTTCCATATTTTCGACTTGTTCTTATAACAGCTATATGATATAGTCTTCCGATTTTTTTTAAATTTAATTCGAAATTCAAGAGTCGTTCGTCTGTCCGTCTGTCTGTTTATCTTTAAACTATGTAGTCTCTCAGTTTTAAAGCTATCTTGCTGAAACTTTCCCAAAATTGTGTAGTTATTGCACGCAGTATACAAGTCGGAACGGGCCGGATCGGGCGACTATTCGGATAGCTTTCATACGAGAGAATGAGGAAAAACTCCCACGCCGTCGTTTTTTATCATATCGATTTGATTTCTTCCATATGGTATTTTTTAACTAACATCGAATTTCGAATTTAATTTTATCAAAATCGGATAACTATATTATATAGCTGCCATAGAAAAGAGCGAGATTATATTTAGAATTAAAAGAAATAAATTGATAACGTTGTTTTTTATCAGCCAAGCATAGTTTTTGGAATATGTATATAGTTTTTTTATGACCTCCGAATTTCAAATTAAATTTCATCAAAATCGGACGACTATATCATATAGCTGTCATACCGTAGTCGTAAATATGCAGAAATTAATAGAAAAATCGCCATATCTTCGATGTTGTTTAGACTTTATGTATTTCGTTCGACGTATTTGATGACTTCAAGGGTATAAGCTGCCGCTTGCCGAAACTAGGTTCCTTTCTTGTTGTAATGGTAAATCTGTATAGCTTTTGTGAATTGATTTCTTACCAATTGTAAATAAACGTGGCTCTAAAGTGGTACAAAACGTGTTGCCATCCATTAATCCAATTTGTGCATTTGCAGGCTGGTGCCTTAACAAATGCTTTTTTGGAGGTATTATGTCAGCGAGAACATCTTTGTGTGGATCCATTACTTCTGAAACAGTTTTTGACTGCATTGTGCCAATGTGTTTAAGCAATGTCATAGATTCTTCTCTAACAATAGCATTTGGGCTTGTTATATGTCGAACTAATTCGTGAATTACTTCATATGTGGCTTTTGCTTGCAATTCTTTCAGTTCCACGTTTTTATAACTCTCATTTATTGGGCTTAAACAAATTTCCAACATGGTCTTCATGTAGTTTTTTGTTATTTCAATAGCGCCGTTAGAAACATCTCCTTCAAGGTCCATTAAAACGAACATAAAAGCTTTTAAGAAATTAAAAAGATTTTGGAACAGAGCCCGTAAAGACATATGTTTACATAAAAACTGAATTGCTTGGCAACCGCCTACCTTCGAGTACCAAGGGCGGTCATAGCACAGAGATATCATTTTTTCTGCAAGATACTGAATAATAGGTAATCTACACGCTCTTTCTTTGTTGCCCATAATATTTGTTGCAGTGTCAAGAATAATACCCATGCACGCTATTCCGGGCTTACATAATTCCTTTTCTTCATGGCCCATGCAAGAGGCTAAAGCATCAATTAATACCATCGGATCTATTCCATTTGAAGATTGATAGCCTTTCTGTTGAAATGGTCCAGCCTGTTGTGCAATCGCCACCATAGTATAATGTCTTACAACAGCGGCCATCACTGGACACACAGAATCTCGCAAATCTTTCGTTGCTGATGCAACTAACATTCCTATAAGAGCTGTCTGATGCGTTCCACGCACAGTTTCATTGTCTACTTTATGCTGAAATGTAGAATAATTCATAATTTTATTTTCAACAAAATCTGCATGTGTAAAAAGTTTTAGCAGCATATGTTTTTCATCATCCAAACTAATAAAGGCAGCTAAGAAACATCGGATTACTTCCCAGCTTTGCCGTCTGTAAAACTGGTCAGTAGAGTTTGACCCCAATGCTCTAAGAGCTGATTCAATAGCTTCATCAACAGGAAAATCTATTGGTTTTTCATATTCTTGAAAATAAGTAACAATCGAAATGGTGGGTTTTTCGGTTTGATCATAAGATAAAGTTTGTGGCTCAACCATCATTTTTCGATTTCCGCCTCCGAATTTTCCAAGAACCCGAAAAGCAACCAAAGCAGCGTTGTCCTGGTTTCTTAGGGTTTTCCACAATGCTTGCATTAAAGCTGCTCTTACTGGTTGTATGTGATCGTATAAAAAATCAGGTTGCAAGTTATCAACACAAAGTTCCAATGTACGCAGGCCCTGAAAATATAAACAAATTTATAATTTTAACAGTTGAAATCAGAATGTGTATAAAATGGAGTTGCTAATTACTTAAAAAAAAAACAAGTCTCTAAAAAGACTTATAGACCTTTTCAGTTAGAACTTTAATGTAGAAAATGACTAGCGTCAATAGTAACAAAATGTTTTCTAACAAGAAAGGAAGCTAGCTTCGGCAACCCAAAGCTAATATACCCTTACAGTCATCAAATATATCGATCAAAATGCGTAAGGGCTAAACAACATTGAAACTATGACGATTTTTCTTTTAATTTTCCATATTTTCGACTATTGTTCGTATGGCAGCTATATGATAAAGTTGTCCGATTTTGATGAAATTTAATATGCAATTCAAGAGCAGTTAGAAAACCCAATATTCCAAGAATTATGCTTGTCTGATGAAAAACAACGATGTTATAATTTTATTTCCCGTATTTCTATATAGATTTTCCGACCTTTCCTATGGTGGCTATATGATAACGTTGTCGTATTTGAATTAAATTTTTTTCTCGAAAATTATGCTCGTGGGATTAAAAACAACGACGTTGTAATTTTTTTCATTATTTATATATACTCCTGTATATTTTTTGATCTTTTGTTTTGCAGCTATATGGTGGAGTTATTCGATTTTGATAAAATTTTATCCGAAATTCAATAGTGGTTAGAAAACGCCATCTGGAAGAAATCAAGTTGATCTGATCAAAAACAACGGCGTTAGAATTTTTTATTTCAATCTCTTGTATTGGAGCTATCCTATATAGTCGCCCGATCCGGCCCATTCCGACTGCGTGCAATAACTACACAAGTTATGGGAAAGTTTCAGAAAGATAGCTTTAAAACTGAGAGACTAGTTTGAGCAGAAACGGCCACGGGTCAGACGGACAGACGTACAGACGTATTTCGATTCAGATCGTGATCCTGATCAAGAATATATATATACTTTATGGGGTCTGAGGTGTCTCCTACACTGCGTTGCAAACTTCTGGCCAAAATTATAATACCCTTTGCTATGCAAGGGTATAAAATTACATTATCTCAAATTACTAGTGTGTGCAGCAAGCTGTTTTCAAAATTATTTTACGTACTTTTATACCCTTGTAGATTGTAGTATAATTTCGGTCAGAAGTTTACAACGCAGCAGGATACATCTCAGACCCCTTTTCAGTACATATATTCGTGATTAGTAGTCTTCTCTTCTCAAAATTATGTTTTTATGAAAACAAGTCTTTTAAAGCTATCCTGCTGGAACTTGACCAAAAGTTATGTATTTATTACACGCAGTATATAGGTCAGAATAGGCTAGATCGGACTACAGATCGAAAAAATAATGAGAAAAAATTAAAACGCCGGTGTTATTTTTTATCATACGAGCATGAGTCTTAAAAAACACCATACGCAAAAATGTTTTTTTTAGGCGGTAAATTTAAGTTTTTTTTTTCTAAAAGATATGTCGAGGATATTGGGTAAAATTTTTGGATCAATTAGAGTCAAACTAACCGAGTTACAGCGTTTTAAACGACGATACTAATATAAAAATACTTTAAATCGATTTTCCCGAAAATGTTATTTTGAAAGTCGGTGCACATCAGAACTCAAAATCTACCGATCCTTTTCAAGTTTAACACAAATTCTTCACATAAACGCAGGTAATCAGGAAAAATTTTTTAAATTTTAAATTTTTTTCTATTTTTAAAAAATAATTTAACAGCGATTTTTTTTTTTAGCTAAAATTGCACTTTATTCTTCCAAAAGCTGCAAAATTTAGATAAAAAAAATGTTTTTAACTCTTCCTGATTATCTCGTGAAATTCATTATCTTTACAACGCATATCACTTTTTATACCCTTGCAGAGCAAAAGGGTATTATAATTTCAGTCAGAAGTTTGCAACGCAGTGAAGGAGACACCTCAGACCCCATAAAGTATATATATTCTTGATCAGCATCACGAGTAGAATCAGAATACGTCTGTACGTCTGTCCGTCTGTCCGTCTGGCCGTCTGTCTGTTTCTCTTCAAACTAGTCTCTCAGTATTAAAGCTATCTTGCTGAAACTTTCCCAAAAGGTGTGTAGTTATTGCACGCAGTATATAAGTCGGAACGAGCCGGATCGGCCGACTATATCGGATAGCTCCAATACGAGAGAATGAAATAAAAAATTCTCAGGCCGTTGTTTTTGATCAGATCGACTTGAATTCTTTCAGATGGCGTTTTCTAACTACTATTGAATTTCGGATTAAATTTTATCAAAATCGGATAACTCTATCGTATAGCTGCCATAGGAGAGATCAAAAAATATATATAGAATTAATGGAAATAAATTGATAACATCGTTGTTTTTTATCCCATGAGCATGATTTTTTGAATATCAAGTTTTTTAACAACTCTTATATTGAGAAAAAAGTTTCATAAAAATCGGACAACTATATCTTATAGCTGTCATAGGAAAGATCGAAAAATCTATATAGAAATAACGGAAGTAAGATTATAACATCGTGGTTTTTCATCAGACAAGTATGATTTTTGAAATATAGAGTTTTCTTACGACTCTTAAATTACGAATTAAATTTCATCAAAATCGGACAACTATATCATATAGCTCCCATATGATCTATAGTCGGAAATATGGAAAATGAATAGAAAAATCGTTATAGCTTCGATGTTGTTTAGCCTTTATGCATTTTGTTCGACATATTTGATGACTGCAAGGGTATATAAGCTTCGGCTTGCCGAAGCTAGCTTCCTTTCTTGTTTTTAAGATATATTATATATATACATATTGGCGGCTAGGAGTTCCAAACTTATATAAGCTTGATGTTTATAGTCAGTTTTTTTTTGAATGGCACCAGTAGTCGAAAATCACTTATCTTCGTGTTTAATGTCCAAGGCCAGTAATAAAGGAAAAGCCGAGCACTCTTCTCACCGTTCCTAATATTTTTATTTTTGTTATACCCTGCACATTCCACAAGTTTCAAGCATTTAAAAACACAACATGCTACATGTTTTTTTTATTGCATGAATTGTTAGTATTCAAAAATATGTGGTCAAAATTTCAAAGCAAAATTCCCATTAGCTTGAATGCAATGAGCACTTAAGTGACCGCCCGTTCGTTCTGCAAAGAAGCGCACATTTTATTTCAAACGCGTTTTTCTCGAAACGACTTTTTTCGACTTGCGTACCTTCTTTTAGCTCAAAAAGTTTTTGATCAATCGTTTTAAAATTTGGAGTAGATATTTTTTATTCAACTCCACGGAAGATTAATCAAATTATATTTTTTTATGCAAGAAAGATGAAACAATATAGTATAAAAACATGACATTGGGTTCAAACACCTCAAAAACATGCAATTTTCAATTTATGTGATCAAAATTACATCCATATTCTTAAACAAGAAAATAAGCTAGCTTCGGCAAGTCGAAGCTAATATACCCTTGCAGTCAATAAATATGTCTAACAAAATACAAAAAGGCTAAACAGCATCGAATCTATGACGATTTCCATATTGTTCATATGACAGCTATATGATATAGTCGTCCGGTTTTGATGAAATTTAATTTGTAACTCAAGACTCATATATTCCAAAAACCATGATTGTCTGATGAAAAACAACGAGGTAATAATTTTATTTCCGTTATTTCTGTTTAGATTTTTCGAACTTTCCTATGGCAGCTATATGATATAGTACTCCGATTTTTATGAAATTTTTTTCTCTTTTTAAGAGTATTTGAAAAACTTAATGTTCCAAAAATCATGCTCGTGGCATTAAAAACAACAACATAATAAATTTTTTTCCATTATCTTATATATATAAATCTCCTGTCACGATGTTTGTCCGCGATGGACTCCTAAACTACTTAACCGATGTTAAATTAAATTGGCATACCATGAGCAGTCTGGTCCAACTTGAGAGATAGGATAGCTTAGATCTTTAATTAAAGTCGCAATTTTATTTTATTGCTAATTATTTGTCTATAATTAATTGAAAGTCACAATTATCTGTTAACTCCAAAATAATCTAATAGGTGTCGATACTTTTCGATTTGATTGAGTAAGTAAACAATAGATGGCACTGCTATGAACAATTTTGATAGAAAATACGTAGATTGGGACTGGGACTGAAGTTCGTAGGTTTGCAAGAAAGGCTTGAAGTACGTAGATCTACGTAAAAAGACGTAAAGTTGGCAACCCTGCTGCTATGGTAAACCGACAATAGCCTGCTTACCACGTGTTATTGACGTTAAGGTATAAATTAAATTTATTTTGTAGTAAACGAAATAGAGTGAAATTTAATTATTTCTACTTTTTTAATTTTTGGTGTTAGCATAGCCAACCACGTACGTAGACCGAAGTGTAAATCAAATTGAAATTATAGGGACGATAATACAGTGAAATCATTCCTGCTTTTTAGTTATCTGTGCTTCATTATTCAAAGTTCTATAGATATAAAAAATATACATGTAGGTATTGTCACATAATTATAATAATAAATTAAAATGCCGCTGAAAAAATCTAATCCGTCCGTGCTTTTCTCATGGGCAACTATATGTTGCATGTTCACGTGTTGGAAAACCGTCAAATCTATTTGTGTTAGCTAAAGACAGGTTAACCAGAAATATTGTACACCGATTAGTGCTAAATTAAATTTAAATTGAAAATATTTATAGTTTACAATAATAAATATTAGAGACTTAAGACTATCTACCTTACCTACCGTTCTTCTTAAATTGTATACTTCAATGTAATATAACAATAACTTTAGCTACAGCAACGCGTGGCCGGGTCTGCTAGTTTATATATATATTTTTTGCTGTCTTCTATGGAAGCTATAAGATAGATTTATCCGATTTTGATAAAATTTTATCCGAAATTCAATAGCAGTTAGAAAACGCCATCTGGAAGGAATCAAGTCGATCTGATCAAAAACAACGGAGTAAGTATTTTTTATTCCATTCTCTCGTATGGGAGCTATCCGATATAGTCGCCGGATCCGGCCCGTTCCGACTTATATACTGCGTGCAACAACTACACAACTTTTGGGAAAGTTTCAGCCAGATAGCTTTAAAACTGAGAGACTAGTTTACATAGAAACCGACAGGAGGACAGACGGACAGACGTACAGACGTATTTCGATTCAGATCGTCATGCTGATCAAGAATATATATACTTTAGGGGGTCTGAGGTGTCTCCTTCACTGCGTTGCAAACTTCTGACTGAAATTATAATACCCTTTTGCTCTGCAAGGGTATAAAAATATGTTTTTAACGAAAAAAAAATTTTGATGATTACATATAAAAATGAACTCCACTATTTCCAGCGGAAATAGTGCACTTGAAAACATAAATAAAATATCCCTTAAGTTAAAACAATTTGTGATTATTAATTCCTGGTTAAAAATATCATGAAAACAGCAAAATTTCGAGCTCATAAACTGGGTTCCCCCCATAAACAATATAAGTAAGAATATTTGCAACTAGCCTTTTAAGAACAATGATACTTACCTGACTTATTAAGGTAGGGGATCCATTTAAAGCAGAAACCAAAGGATCCATTAACATCGGTAGGTATGGCAGTAAAGAAGACAAGCGAACTGGTACAGTAAGGCAAAGCTCCACAAAAAGATCTCGCATATGCTGTTTGTGAAATCCACTCTGAAGACGATTTAATCCTTCCAATAAATTTGGTAAAAGTGGAAGAAACTCTTGGTATAATAGGTCATGGCTGCCACCTCCAATCGACCTAAACAGTGCTCTCAGCAGTAAAAAATAGTTGTAGGGCTCGTCAGAAACCAAAGCCAATTCCATTGATCGAATCACTATTTTATGAAGATGCGGACGCAACATTTGTTCGTTTTCGACTGGAAAAAGACTCACGCTTCCAAAAACCAACTTAAATAGGCGAAGATACAAATTAGAACGCTCCAAGTTTGAGCCCATTTCTTCCATTTTATCCAAAAGATATTCAACTAGTACCGTGGCAAAAAGAGGTGATGTTGTCGGATTAGCCAAAAATGAGTTTGCTATTACTTGCAGGGACTGATTTTTATAGATCCTTTCCACTAAGAAATGGATTGTTGTTGAAAATATTTCTTGAAAGTTTTGAGAGTGCATCATTAAAAACTGAAAGAAAAAAGAAAGAGAAACAATTAGTTAAAATACATGGTAACAATGGTTAGTTTCGGCTGACACCTATAGTTTTTAAGGGGCACAACTAGTGTAAAGTTTTAAAAAAATGAAAAAAATTTTTTTTCATATTTCGGTAGATTACACCTTTAAAAATAATATATTAAAATTTAAAATCGATATCTCAAATAGTTTTTGAGTTATAACAATTTAAAGAGCAGCATTTTCCAAATTTTCTTCAGTGATAACTCAAAAACTAGTGATCCGATCACTACCAATTTTTTTTACATGTTCTTTATATAGTTATACGTACCATGAACTATCGGTTTTTTGATCCGATCAAAAATCGAATTTTGGCAGGCCAAAAACGACCAAAATTTTGGTTAAAATTCGATTTTTTTTTTTTTAACGCTGCCATTTTGTCATTTTTTGATATTTTTTTTATCGTAGTTCATGGTATGGAAAATATTATCTAGTTTAACGAGAATTTTTCATTTTTTGATTTCGTCCACGGAGAGGGCCGGAATCACTGCAGCAGTTAAGGCACTTTTTTTTTAGCGCCGTTGGAGATCGACTATAACTTAAAAAATATTTAACTTTTTTCTTTAAAAATTTCACTATACATTCATAAAACATGTATAAATATATTCTGAAAATTTGAAAAGAATTGATCAAGTAGTTTTTTTTAAAATTCCCAAAAATCACCATTTTTTTAGGCCGTCAAGAAAAATGTCATTTTTGGACCCAAAAGGTATGAACTTAGTTAGCATCACAATCCGAGTGGATTAAAGTCACTCTTTAAAGTCGTTTTGTTATAGTTAATTGCCGCTAAGCCAAGCCATCTAGGACAATGATTTTTGTTTTCTAATAGAGTTTATTTAAATGTGGTAATTTGACGAATGTTGCAATATTCCTTGATTAGGTGCAAACGGCGGCGTCTTAATTTTGCTTAATTTGAGGAGGAAACTTTGACTAAAAAACCTTCAAAATATCTGAGTGCTTTTCAAATAACAATATTACCTAATTTCCTTATTGTTATCTTATACGAAAGAAAAATTTTCTGACTTAAAAACTTCACCAACTTGGTCTGGCAGGTACGCATACTATTTTTATAGCCTTGCAGAGCAAAAGGGTATTATAATTTCAGTCAGAAGTTTGCAACGCAGTGAAGGAGAAACCTCAGACCCCAAAAAGTATTTATATTCTCGATCAGCATCACGATCAGAATCCAAATATTCTGCCTGTCTGTCTGTCTCAGCTACAAAAGCTGCAAAGATTGGCGTGCCTATGTATGACAGGAGTAATGAGGACCTGTCCCACTACGGCACTGGAAGTTCTCATGCTGCAGCGGAAAGCCGCCCTATTAAGAATCACTTCTGAGGCTAATGGCAGTCATCGCAGCTTCAGCTCTAGGGATGCAGCAAAACTACTATTCGAACTTGTAGATGCGCTCGTCGCTGGCTGCTAGTTGCGTTCCACAAACATGCACAGATTATTATAAATGCCTAGAAACCGGCAATGCTTTCTCGCTGCCTGTGGCTCAGAGCATTGATTAAGTTGCCCTACGTAATTGGAGTCCGTCTCAATACGTTAGTATTTTGATTATTCTATAAGTATTATTATAAATAGTAATTAATATAAAATAAAGTAATAAAAAGGGGGGGAAAGGGGAAATGAAAAAAATTAAATTTTTGGTAATTAACTATTTGAAAATTGTGGATTTATATTTTCATAAACTTAATACTAGAATTTATAGCAAATAATAAAAAGTGGCCTTAACCCTAAGTTCGGCCTATTTGCCGCTACACCCTGGAGAAGACCACATCGTTAGTAACACGTCGAAAAGTAATTTTTATTATCCATACCAGTTGCAAGCCTAAATAGGCAAAAATCTTAAAAATTTTATTAGTTTTATATAATTTTTTTTTTTTTTTTTTTTTGTATTTTTAAAGTTTTAAAATTTTAAAACGGAAAGAGAAGAATCGTAAAATGTGAGAAAATAGTGTGGTGGGAAAATAATGTGAAAGCAAAAGAATAACAGAAAAGTGAATTAAAATTAACCCATTAAAAAAAAAAAGAGAAATCCAATGTGGCAGACCCAAACAACAAAAGCAACAACCTTTTAATTGATAATAAATATGGGAAAGTTTAAACTAATACCAACTGATCTGGCAGCAGTTTATTTTATTGAGCTTAATTACATGTTATTGTTTTTTTTTTTTTGAAGAGTATTATAAAAAAAAATTATTACAAAATATTTAGAAATAAGTCTGTGGCTGTTAATCTTCCAAAGCGCCTTAAGAAAAAGTTGTTTTGCGGTGAACATCATAGGGCGTTAGGGCGGATCATCCTTAAAAAAAAAAAGGTGATTTTCGTTGTAAAGATAATGAATTTCCCGAGATATTCAGGAAGAGTTTTTTTTAAATTTATTTTTTGTCTTTTTGTTTATTTTTTAAAAATAGAAAAAAATTAAAAAAACTCTTCCTGATTACCTGCGTATTTATGTTGAGAATTTGTGTTAAAAATTTGAAAAGGATCGGTTCAGTAGATTTTGAGTTCTGATGTTCACCGATTTTCAAAATAGAGTCTTCGGCAAAATCGATTCAAAGTATTTTTATACGTGAAAATACGTCCAAATACGGTTGTTTAAAACGCTGTAACTGCGTTAGTTTGACTTTAATTGACTTAGAATTTGTACACAATGTTCTCGACACATTGGTCATTCAGAAAAAAAAAAAAAATGTAAAAAAAAAAAATTTTGCCAACTATTTTATTAAACATAATATTTTACTATATCTATATACCTATGCCATATTATCTTTTCCACAGCACCATTCGCACGATTTCTCACTGCGCGCATTAATTAATAAAAAAAAAAAGAACATTTTAAGGTTTTGTGCGAAAATTAATAAAAATATCAAGCCTAATTAAATTAAATATTTTTATAGGAATTATCTTTAAACGCTACCACAATCGTGATGGAGAACTATTGTTATGAATAAATTGTGTAAATTGAAAATTAACAACTGCTAAGCGTTTACCGTGGGGCCATGCCGAACAACAATAATGTTAAAAGAAGCGACTTGAACATAGGGACGATTTAGTGAATGACATCATTTTGGAGACGGAGTAAATGGTCTTGGTGGTTGGGTGGGCTAATGCAAGTTGCTGAACAACAACTACAGCAACAACATTCAAGTCAAATTGTTTTAGAATCGTATTTTTTCTTTATCTACCTATTGTCGATCGTTTAATAACCATTTCTTTCTTTCTTCTTTATCTTGTCAGTTTTGAGTGAGTTAATTCCCCTACCTCAAAGCACGCGAAATCAAATAATATTACTGCATAAAACGCCAGCATATGCTACAAACTTCCCCTGAGTTCATTTCCCAGGGACGAAATGGCAGTAGAAATCATTTTCGAAAAGAATTTATTCGCTCATTTAAGCAAAAAGAAAAAGTGGACCACCATGAAGGGAGTGGACTCCATGGCAAGTCACACCATAGCGTGGTATACGGATGGGTCCCTAACTAATCAAGTACCATAAATCTTTAGGCCAATACATCAGCATATTCCAAGCTGAGGTATGTGCCATAGGACGGTGTGCGAAGCTCAACATAAAGCGAGGGTACACAAACATGGAAATTGCTATCCTTTCGGACAGGCGAGCGGCAATTACTGCACTTTACAGTAATAAAATCACCTCGAAGCTGGTTCGAGAAGTAAGAAAAAAGTTAAACCTTCTGCGCAGCAACAACAGGCTGTCACTAAGATGGATCCCAGGACATAAAAACATATCCGGGAACGAACTAGCCGACAGGCTAGCTAAATTAGGGGCAGAACGTCCCCTTTTAGGACCCGAGCCTTATTGTGGCATATGCAGACACACAATCAAAGATTATCTGAGAAATGCCGAGGAACATATGAGGCAAGACTGCTGGGAGAACACCACAGGCAAAAGACAAGCCAAAATCCTCATCGTCAATTATGATATGAAGAGGTTCAAGTAACTTATACCATTAGGGAAGAACTCACTCAGGGTAATTACCGGTATAATAACCGGACATTGCAGACTAAGGATTCACCTATTTAAAATAAGAATTGTAGGCAGCAAGACATGCAGATTTTGCGGTAGCGAGGATGAAACCTCCCTACACATAATTCCTGACTGCCCAGCCTTAAGCAGTCAGAGAAGTGGAACCCTCGGTTTCCGGTCCCTTACACTTGAGACCTTCATAACGTTGACCCAAGAAAGCTCCTTGACTTTATCAGAGGAACAGGGTTGATGGGTGAGCTCTAAGCTCAGATAGGGGGTTCAATAGATCGAGTTGGATCAATGTAGTCAATTTCTCCCATATAATAGTAATAATAGATCTGAGTACTCTTGTGTTCTCTGAAATAATTGAATAAAATAACCGTTACAAAAAAATAACGTTTAGTACTTACTATGCCACTAAAATGCTCCAATACTTCTTTTTCTTCTTTACTTCGTGAAATCAGACCAGAGGTTCTTTGTTGATTCGGGTTAACATTTATAGTATAAACGTCTAAAGCCTCCATCGCATAATGGACCAAGTCAATATAAGAGCATAAGATTTCAGGACCAAAAAGCTTTTCGTGATAAGCATGACCTGTATCAGACATCTGAAACTTTTCAGTCCGAAATAATTAAAATTATTGCATCAAACAAATTACTGAAAACATACCTTTGAGTTGAAAAAACCCCAAGTTATTGTTTTTACTCCACCAACAAGGGTTTTTACCAAACTTCGAAATTCAGCTACATTAACCGTATTTGCCCATTGTGATCCAGTAGAGGAAATTTTGATTTGATCGTTTGATATTTGATCCTAACAGAATGAGGTCTGGTTAGCATTTTTTATAATATTAATTTTAATACTTACATCCTTCATGTCTGACAGCGCTAAAACGTTTCCAGACGTATTCGATTGTGCCCCAGAATTAGGTTGTCCTTTACTGTAAAAAGAAATAGAATTTTACAAAATGTATAAATTAGCTTGTTTGTCATGTATTTGTAGCATAATAGCAAAGACTGCATTTCAATTTCATTTTGTTTCTTTATTTTTTTTACCGCTTGTAATTTTATTTATTGGGCCTTATCTTCTAAGTAAAAGTTTAAAAATCTTAATCTAAGTCTTTTTATTTTGTTTTAACAAAAATTTTGGGTTAGGGCCCTAACCTCTAATGTTGGGTGGGTCCTTTCGAGTTAAAGACTGTGCAATTCTATTGGGCTGTATTGGCCTGTAGCTTGGCCCTATATTTAGTTTTCGCTTTTATTATTTCATTTTGGACGAGTTGAACATTCAGATCTTTGTGTATATTACAATTACAATTGTGGATATTACAATAACAGATGTACTGTGTTAATATTTTGGATTGAGCTCTTTGGAATAACTCAATGTTTCTACTGCTGGCAGCAGCACATTGGTCTCAATATGTTTTTGCCAATAAAGTCGTCTGTCTAGGTGGACCCCAAAATCTGTAACATCTGTAGTTTGAGGGATAGATATATTGTTAAGAGGCAATGGTGGTTGATATTTAGAGTAAATGTAACATGTTTGCACTTTTGCTTATTTACGTGTATGCACCAATCCGCTAGCCATTTTTCTATGGCGCAAGATGGAGTAAGGGTTTTTTGGTCGATTTGGTTAAACATCTGATCGGCTTAAGATGGCACTATCGTCAGCGAACGTCGAAGTTGTTTTTAGGCTGCATGTTGGCATATCTACTGTGTCAATAATGTACAGTGTTGGTCCAAGTACTCTGCCCTATTTTATCCGATTTCAATTCAATTGTAGTTAGAAAACGACATATGGAAGAAATCAAGTCGATCTGATCAAAAACAACGGCGTGAGAATTTTTTATTTCATTCTCTCTTATGGGAGCTATCCGATATAGTCGGCCGATCCGGCCCGTTCCGACTCATATACTGCGTGCAATAACTACACACCTTTTGGCAAAAAGGTTCACCCGAATTTTTTTATTTCTTTTTTTTTTTTTTTTTGTTGTATTGATTTTTATGTTAAACTCTTTTTGTTGGAGGAGGTGCCTTGGTTATTTTGTTTGTATAGATAGATTAAGAAGTATTTTGTCCAAAAACTTTTAATACACTTACCATTTTTGAATTATTAATGGAAGCTGAATTTTGGCAATAGTTTCAAATTTTGTTACAAAAACTTTTAACAGTTTTGAAAGTATAGCTCTAGATCTGTGAGGCTCTATTTCACTGTGATGTCGTAAGCAGTCAACCAAGTTTAACAAAAGCTTGCAAGACATTGTTTGTATTCCAACAGCCAGTGTTTCATCATGGACATTTTTTGAAAATAGATTTACAGCCTTTATTAGAACATCTAAATTAAGGCTTTGTCGAACATGATGAGCAAGATCTGCTAGTGTTGAATATGCCAAAGGGCGAATCGAGTCCACAGTGACGCCTTTTCCAATCAGCAAGTCCTCATCAAAAAGTTTTTCAATTGATGGAATAAATTCTAAAAATAAAAACAAATACAGTATTAAAATAAGAAGTTCTAGTCAAAATCACTAGGATATAAAATAAGATATAAAAATAAAATTAATAGAAAAATCGTCATAGCTTCGATGTTGTTTAGCCTTTATGAATTTTGTTCGACATATTTAACGATTGGAAGGGTTTATAAGCTTCGGCGAGCCGAAGCTAGCTTCTTTTCTTGTTTAATAAGAAATTATTATTAATTTTTTTTTTTACCAAAATCACGCTTTTTATTTTACAAAAAATAGAAGAAAAAAAACAAGAAAGGAAGCTAGCTTCGGCAAGCCGAAGCTTATATATTTTTTCCATATTTTCGACTATTGTTCATATAGCAACTATATGATATAGTTGTCAAATTTTTTTATTAAATTTAATTCGTAATTCAAGAGTCATTAGAAAACTTTATATTCCAAGAATCATGCTTGTCTGATGAAAACTAAGGATGATAAATTTTCTTTCCGTTATTTCTATATAGATTTATGACAGCTATATAATAACGTTGTCGAATTTTAATGAAAATTTAGTCTCGATTTAAGGCTTACAAAAAACTCCTTATTTAAGAAATCATGCTCTTGGGACTTAAAAAAACGACGTCATAATTTTTTTTATTATTTATATATATGTTTTTCGATCTCTCCTATGGCAGCTATATGATAGAGTTATCCGATTTTAATCAAATTTAATCCGAAATTCAATAGTAGTTAGAAAACGCCATCTGGAAGAAATTAAGTCGATCTGATCAAAAACAACGGCGTACGAATTTCATTCCATCGTAAGGCAGCTATCCGATATAGTCGGCCGATCCGGCCCGTTCCGTCTTATATACTCCGTGCAATAACTACACAACTTTTGGTAAGGTTTCAGCAAGATAGCTTTAAAACTGAGAGACTAGTTTGCGCGGAAACGGACAGCCGGACAGATGGACAGACGGACAAACGGACAGACGGACACACGTATTTGGATTCTGATGCTGATGTTGATCAAGAATATATTAGGTTGTTTGGTAATGACATACCGGTTTCTTTATTGATTTTTGACGACGATTTTAACATAGTTAGCATTGTCCGATTTAAGTGCTATATGTACCGTTGTCTTTGATGATTTTCTGCCATTTTGATGGTAACTTGTATATGCCTCTCCTAAAGAAGTCCTTGTCCCTACTGGCAAAAAAATCGGCGATTAGATTTTCACAATCCTCCCTTGAACTCAATTTTTGTCCATCGAAAAAATTTTGCATGACCAAAAACAGATGGTAATCGCTTGGGGCAATGTCCGGACTATAAGGTGGATGCATTAACACTTCCCAACCAAGCTCCCGTAGCTTGTGACGCGTCACCAGAGATGTATGGGGCCTGGCGTTGTCATGATGGAACACAAAGCCCTTACGATTCACCATGGCTGGCCGCTTCTGTTCAAGTGCAATCTTCAATCGCTCCAGTTGATCACAGTAGAGGTCAGAATTGATGGTTTGGCCATAGGGCAACACTTCATAATGGATAATTCCTCTGATATCCCACCATACACTCAGCAACACCTTCTGAGCCGTCAGTCCTGACTTTGCCAACGTTTGAGACGACTCACCGTGCTCCCACCAGGATCTTTTACGCTTTATGTTGTCATATGTGATCCATTTTTTATCACCGATCCAGAAATAAGTCGAGTTTATTACGGTGCAACAAAGATTTGCAGATTTATACACGGTCGAAAAGGTTTTTTTTGCATCAATAGCAAGACCAATTTCCAACATCTTAAAAGGTGAAAATGGAAGTGTTAGCAGACTCAGGTCTGGAAACATTGAATTGCAAATTCTCCGAAAAACAGCAACGCGCATTTAAAAAATTGCGCAATAAATTGGCATCTGAGGATGTTATGCTTTGGTATCCCGACTACAAAAAGGCATTTGATCTAACAACAAATGCCTCAGCCTATGGCACTGGTGCAGTAAACTATGCTACCAACGACCGGAAAATATTAGCGATAGTATGGGCACTGGCCAAGCTTCGGCATTACCTCTACGCAGTTAAGGACATAAACATTTTTACCGACCACCAACTTTTGACCTTTGCAGTCTTAGTGCCCTAATGGAAAAATCAAAAGGTGAATCTGGTGCGAAAATCTTCTATAAGCCTGGTAAAGAGACTTTGGTCGCTGACGCGTTATCCAGACAGCAACTTAATACCATGGAATAATTAGAAATTGAATCCTATGTAGCCACAGTCCACAGTGAACAATCGCATAACCATACAAAAGACACCACGGACTAGCCCCTGAATTGCTTCCAAAACCAAATCAATTTGGAAGAACCGCGATCCCCGCTAAAACGAAGCTTTATATTGTTTGCAAATAAAAGAGGCCATTCGATCAGTTTTACAAACAATCGTTTACAAGAATCATTGCAGGAGGAACTCGCAGTCACAATTACTCCGAAGGGCGTAAATGCCTTCCACTGTGACCTGCACACTTGACTCTTATAAAAGATGAGGTGGTCAGAAGTTTCTCGGCCACAAAATTCTGGCACTGCAAAAATCGAGTGACAGACATATTCGCTGTCAAGAAAGGAAAGAAAATCCTCATAGCCGAACACAACAGGGCTCATAGTTCGGCCCAAGAGAACACAAAACAAGTACTTTCCGAGTACTACTTCCCCAAAATAACAAAGTTGGCTAATGAAATCGCCGCAAATTGCAAAAGATGCGAAATCCAAGTACGATAGGCATCCCAATAAACAGGAGATCAACGAAACCCCAATAGCCTCTAATGTAAAAGAGATGCTTCACATAGACATTTTCCCTACAGATAAAAAATATTTTCTCACTTGCATCGACAAGTTTTCCAAATTCGCCATCGTACAGCTAGTTCCGTCAAGAACCATCAATGCCTTGAAGCTAGCATTGCTTCAACTCATGAACTCATTTCCCAAGGCCAGAATTATCAATTGTGACATTATTTATCGCTTAACTCATATTCAATCTCGGCCATGCTAATAACCCACTTCAGCATGTTTCTAGACAAAACAGAGTCTTTGGCGTACGCGACAGAGTCCTGGTAAAATGCAATACACGTCTTGGAAACAAGCTTGTGTGAAGAGAAGGTTGTGGCCACTTGCCACAAATTTTTAATAGTTATAGGCATAGCTGATTAAATATTTTTAAGATAAAATTAATTTCCGTTGGTGGTGGGCAACCTTGCCGTAAACAAAAATATAGCTTCGAATTAATTTCACAGGTTTAAAATCTTCTTCTTCATCATCTATCTGACTACGGCGTCAACCCACATAACTGACTACTCCCTGGCGAAGTATATAGAAGCTTAGATTTTCTAGGGTCAGCATTTAAAATCGTGGCAGGAACACTAGACGCACAAGATTTAGAAAAAATTTAATTCACTGAATCGCAACTCATTAACTCAAACAACAGACAAATAGAATTTAACAATAAAGTGCAGGATCAAATCAATAAACTTACCGCAACAGTAATCAAATTCTAAAATCAGTAAAGAAATTACGTATACTGGTCACTTATACGACACATTGCTTGCTCGGAATAGGATGATCATGATGGAATTGTAGAACCTAATGCTCGCGGTAGCGCTTTCAAAAGCCATAATGTGATACTACGCCTATCGAGTAATATAGTAGCAGAGTGTAACGGAGAGGTCTATTGCTGGCGGATTAGCGCAATGCGAGACTCAGCCAAGTGACCTACATCCGGTTACCTATCATATGTCGACGAGGGAATCATCATCGTCAATGACCGGTCAGCGCAGGTGCAAGTGGACAACGGAACCTTCAATGAACGTTAACCAAACCCTGTTCGTTAATCACGACACAGCCCATAAGAGGACTGCGGGGGTAGCCAATTCGCCCTCCCTTCACATCACCATCAGTCAAAATATTCTGAGTTTTCCTTACCTTCACCGTCTAAGTGAACGTAATTTGGAATACATCCAGAAGTTTGGAGAGGAAATCAAAAATAACCGGGCACACAAGGTGGTGCTAATTGCAGGAGCAATATGTTGCGCATTGATTTGTATCGGTATCACCTATCAGCGACTTATCAGGGAATATAGGCTATCCAGCTACAGGAGGTGATTGACGAAATAGGGTCGGCCGCGGGCGGGCTTAATCTTGAGGGGGGAGTAGTTACATGAAATTAACCAGACATAGTTGACGAGGGAATGTACCCAGCAACGGCCAAATCGATGAAACAGCATTTGACCAGATGCTATTGCATAGCCCGCAAACACAGCATATTTTCGATGCGACTTATGTTTGCTTCAAGTAAAAGAATTGTAGTCAGTTCAATTTCAGATTCAAACGAATAAAGAGCACCAGCTGTTGAAATCAATTCCAACGACGGTCGTTACATTTTATCATTACTCTACTAAGCTTTAGGCTAGTAGTTGAAAGTGAACAGTTCCCTCTCAGTATAAATTCGGTTAGTGATAGAGATCTTGTCACCTGGCGGATTCTCTCTTCCCTTATAGACTGGTATTGCGGTACGACTACTTAATGACACAGTGCGGCCAACAACGGACACCGACCCCGCATCAACAAATTGCTTAGTGACGAAGGGCGATCAACGGTCTCCTCTAAAGCCTCCAGTGATACGGGCTAGCAAAGGCCAAAGCAGTTCAACTAGCTACGGACACCCCCTCGTGTCCCTGACAACCATGGGTCACCATCACGATTGGGGCTTGCACTTTTTGCAAGCGTTGTTTCTGCGTGAGTCGGTTCACGATGAATTGCCAAACCAAATTGAGCATAAAGCACTTGACAGCTGTTAAATCGTCGCCATCTATACCTCGAAAAAAAAACACTCATTGCTACCATAATAAAGTTTAAGCAATATACTATAGTTTAATACTTATATATAATACTTAATACTTAAAATTAACATTTATGCTTAGTTTTTTAACTTACTTTGACGCAGGTCCGTAGCAAAAATATGCCGAGCTGCTATTAATAACTCTTTCCTGAGATGGGCTGCTTCCTTGGGACAATTTCTCATCAGGTTAAGCATTCCACTTACTACTGATAATGAGCTGGCGACCACAACTTCCTAAAATAAAGAGAAAAAAATTCTTAGAACCCATAGCATTTTCAAAGTTTTGATGGGCGTATTTTAATTTAAAATTGGTTAAGCAGTTTAGGAGTCCATCGCGGACAAACATCGTGACAGGAGATTTATATAAATTAAGATAAGCAAATTATTATTTAAACACTAGTTCCTTTTATATCTAGTAGATATTAATAAAGATTATTGGAAAACAAAAATTAAAGAGATTACTTCATTTTTACGGATTTTACAACAACTTGAAGTCAGAAGTGACAAACATGTATCCACATGTGCTCACCACTGTACATATTGGGTGCTATGGGAGCTATCTGTTAAAGTCATCCGATCCGTCCTGTTCTCGGACTTCGAATTAAATTTTATGAACTTTTATTTCGGACGACTATATCATTATAGGGACCATTAGGGAAAATATAAAAACAAATAATAATAAATAAAAATAATAAATAAAAAATACAAAAACAAATGACTGCAATGGTATATAAGTTTCGACTCCCCGAAGCTAGCTTCCTATTACTATTTTCTTTTAAATTTATTTTTTAGACATTTTAGGAGAGTCTACCCGTTTGTTTAAGACCCCATTTTATATTGTTATCGATATTTGTCTCCCTTCTTCCCAAACCAATTCAAATTATACGTTTTAGCGGTATTTAAAACTATTGTTTTTAGAGTTAAACACACTTATAGCACAGATCTTTCTACTAAACTCTAAAACTCCCAATAAATTGCGAGCAAAACTATTTAAATTTTTAACAATTACCTACATAAAAGCAATTACCTGAAATATTCGAACAATGTATGCCAGAAATGACAATGTTTTGATTTGTGCACCCATGAAGTCTACAAAAATTTCCTTTTGTGACGAGTTTCTGAAAAAGAATTTTTTAAATAAGTATAAATTTCACAAAAAGAAGGAATAGCAACATTTATTAAAGTAAGACGAAATTGAGGAAGATATAGCGATCTTGTATGTTCTGCATAAATTTTAACCTATGCTTTCTATGACAACTTTTTGATAGCTTCGACGAGCCAAAGCTTGTATCCCTTGAACACATCAGAATCTATATATTTTGTACAATACGTGCAATAACTTCACAACTATTGGTAACGTTACATTGGCAAAACCTTAAAACTAAACAGAATTCCGATGGAAACAGACAGACCTACACTTCTAGAACGATTCAGATGGTGACGCTGATCAAGAAATTATACTTATGGGGTCTGTGGTGTCTCTATCACTGCGTTGCAAACTTCTGACTGAAATTATAATAACCTTTTGCTCTGCAAGGGTATAAAAAGATTCTGCTAATCAAGTCGGAGTCGGCATTAAGAGTGTATACTATTTTGTATAAAGCAAAACAACTTAAAAAATTGCAGGAAATTATTTATTGAATGTCAATGACAACAGACGTGTTTTTATATCGCTCCGCCGAGTAACTAAAAATACATCGAAAATATCCGATTTCTATTTCGCGAAATTCGCTCAGGGTACGCGTGGGGACTCCTGCTCATGTTGCATATATCTAATTAACAGTTCGGCTGATAAGTCCCGGGACTAACTAAGAAGAACGCATTTTTTTTCGAAAATTCTTTTTTATTATTCAAGGTAGTTCCCTTCGAGGGCGATACACCGACTATAACGATCCTTTAACTTTTCGATGACATTTTTAAAATATTCTTTGTCTTTATCCCCAAAAAAGGCCTCTGTTTCGGCAATAACTTCCTCATTTGTCTTGAATTTCTTCCCAGCGAGCATTCTTTTTAGATCTGAAAACAGGAAATAGTCACTGGGGGGCTAGATCTGGGGAATATGGAGGGTGCTGAAGCAATTCAAAGCTCAATTCATGCAATTTTGCCATCGTTTTCGCCGATTTGTGACACGGTGCGTTGGACTTTTTTCTTCTTCAAATGAGGCCGTGTTTCTGCGATTTCTTCCTTCAAACGCTCCAATAACCCAATATAAAAGCTGTTGATGGTTTGGCCCTTCTCAAGGTAGTCCACAAAAATGATTCCAAGTGCATCCCAAAATACGGACGCCATAACTTTGCCAGCTGACTGTTGCGTTTTTCCACGCTTTGGAGTCGATTCATCTCGCTCAGTCCACTCCGATGATTGCCGATTCGACTCTGGGGTATAGTGGTGGAGCCAGGTTTCATCCATTGTCACATACCGACTAAAAAATTTGTTTTTATTTCGCTTGATCAGTGCCAAACACTGCTCGGAAGCGTCAACTCGTTGCTGTTTTTGGTCAATTTTGAGCTGGCGCGGCAGCCACTTTGCACAGAGCTTGCGCATGTCCAAATGTTCATGTACGATATGCCAAACACGCTTCTTCGATATCTTTAGAGTATCAGCTATCTCTGCCAACTTCACTTTACGGTCACTTAAAATAATTTTGTGGACTTTTTTGACATTTTCGGGGGTAACCACCTCTTTTGGGCGTCCACTGCGTTCAGCATCATTTGTGCTCACACGCCCACGCTTGAAATCAGCAAACCATCGGCAGATTGTTGTTTTCGATGGAGCAGAGTCTGGATAACATTTGTCAAGCGAAATTTTTGTTTCGACGGTATTTTTACCCATCAAAAAATAATGTTTGATCAATACCCGAAATTCGTCTTTTTCCATTTTTCTCGGAGTTGCAAAAGTTGCTTTACTCACGCGGCTATAACTTACGAACGGATTGTCCAATTTTTTTCAAATTTTTGTATGTTTCGTTTAAATGCTTGTACCCAATAGGAAAAATATTGAAATAATTTTAGTGGCACCCCCTATATATCAGTCCCGGGACTTATCAGCCGGCCTAATACTAATATAAGTGATATAATACAGTTTTTTACAAATTTTGCCACGCGCGATAAGCTCAAATAAATGAGCGGCGAGCAAAATAATGAGCGTAGAAGCTCCGTAAACCAAAGAAACGCTTGTTATGCTTATTTCTCAACCCGCGATTCCGAAGCAGAGAAAACGTTTACAAAGAGCAACCCGGCCCTACTGGCCGTCGAAAGCATGAGAGCCCGCTCTCTATCACCAGCCCTACTCATTCCAACTCCTACATCTTGGAGTTATCAATGCCAGACCCCGCCACCACCGGCTTCTATGGGAGACGCACCAACAACAAGCAGTGTTTCAATTTCTACTACCTCAGCAAAAGTAACGGCAACAACTAAAGCAACGACCAATATTGCGAAAACGGTGTCAACGGCTCCATCGCAAACTGCAACAGCAACAAAAACCGTAAGCTTTGATAAGCAACAAGCGGTTCCGGCCATACAGACCGGTATGGATCGCTACATCTAGATAAAGCGTAAGCTTAGTCCGCAATACACGGTTGGTAACAAACCAAAGATCAACCGTACAATCCAAGCCAAAGAAAAAACCAGGATTTCAAACAACAGCAACCGATTTTCCCTCTTAGCAGATGGTGAGAGCCAAGCTGAGCCGGATCAAGTGACCCAAAAGAAAACAAAGCCCCCACCTATCTACATTAGGGAAAAAGCTCAAACGCCCTGGTCAACAAAATTGTTGCGCTGGTCGGGGACGAAAATTTTCATGTTGTTCCGCTTATTAAAGGGAACATCCACGAAACTAAAGTTCAGACGAAATATGAAGAACACTTCCGAGCTGTTTCCAAATACCTGGAGAAAACGAAAAAGAATTTTTACACCTACCAACTAAAAAGCAGCAAAGGGCTACAGGTGGTACTAAAAGGAATCGAACCCGACGTCGCCCCCTCTGAGATAATAGAAGCCCTTAAAGACAAGCAATATTATCAACAAAAATAAAAAGCCGCAACCACTCTTTAAGGTCGAGCTAGAGCCCGATAGCAAAACCCTAAAGAAAAATGAAGTGCACCCGATCTACAAGCTGCAGTTCTTACTGCACCGGAGGATCACAGTAGAAGAACCACACAAACGGAACGGCCCAGTGCAATCTACAAATTGTCAGGAGTTTGGGCACACCAGGACATACTGCACACTTCGGTCAGTTTGTGTAGTCTGCGGAGACTTCCACAAAAAATGTGGGAACTGCGGAGGAAACCATACAGCAAACTACAGAGGCTGTCTGGTCTACAAGGAGCTGAAGAGTCGCATGCGACAAGCGACAGCGACGCGTCAACAAAATACACAAAATGTGTATCTTAAATCAAAAACTACGCCAGACGTATTTTTCGCCAAGGCAGCCAGATCATCTTTCGGTCCGCTCAGTACCACCAACGGCATCTCCTACGCTGATGCTCTACGAACAGGCATGGAAAAACCACTCCAGCCACACTCAGAAAACGCTCAACAGGTACCAGCCCAGCCGCAAAGCAATTTGGAAACTATGATGTTTACCATGCAACAAAGCATGATGGAGTTCATGTCATTTATGAAAGCGACCATGCAAACGCTGGTCCAGAACCATAATATGGTGATGCAGCTGCTTGTATCACAGCAGTCCAAATAATAAATGAACAATCTACGAATACCCATGTGGAATGCCAACGGCATTTCACGGCATAAACTGGAAATAACTCAATTCCTAAATGTAAATCACATCGACGCCATGCTGCTGGTTGAAACTCACCTCACAAGCAAATATAACTTCCATATACGGGGGTATACCTTCTACCGCACAGATCATCCCGATGGTAAAGCCCACGGCGGCACCGGCATCTTAATTAGAGAACGCATCAAACACCATTTTCACCAAAGGTTTGCAACAAATTACTTGCAAGCCACGTCTATAAAAGTGCAGTCAGGAAACGACAACCTTTGCATCGCCGCTGTCTACAGCCCACCTCGCTTTACAATCTCTGAAGGTCAATTCATGGATTTCTACAACTCACTTGGGGATCGCTTCATAGCTGCTGGAGATTACAACGCCAAGCATACGCACTGGGGATCACGCCTCGTTACTCCAAGGCAAAGCAACTTTATAATGCACTTATAAATGTGAGAAATAAGTTGGACTACGTTTCTCCTGGTAGCCCCACATATTGGCCAGCAGACCCCAGAAAGATTCCAGATCTAATTGATTTTGCGGTGACAAAAAACATCCCCCGCGACCTAATAAGTGCCACGGCCCTACCCGATCTCTCATCACACCACTCTCCAATATTGATAACCCTTCTTTAAAGCCCAGAAATTACGGACCACCCCTACAGGCTGACGTCGCACAGAACTGACTGAATGAAATACAGGAAGTACGTGAGTTCCCACATTGAGCTGACCACCCAGTTCAATATTGAAGAGGACATTGACTGCCGCCCTGGAAGAGGTACACGTCACAGCAGCCAGGATCTCAACACCACAACGACATGATGTGCAAATAAAGAAGTTCAAAACCAACCTGCAAATTGAACAGCTCGTTCTGGAAAAGAGGCGTCTGCGACGGGCGTGGCAAACCAGCAGATCGCCATGCTCAAAGCAACGTCTAAGTGAAGCCACCCGCAAACTAAACCGGGTTCTGAAGCAAGATGCCGAAAACGCACAACTGAGATATATTAAGAAACTCTCTCCAACTAGTGCAAACGCCCTATGATGTGCCCTTGTGGAGGGCTCACCTAAAACTAAGCTCTCTGGTTGAAACCGTCTCCCCGATAAAAAATTCTTTAGGTGGCTGGGCGCGCAGCGACACAGACAGAGCCGAAACATTTGTCTCACATCTCAGGGGCGTCTTCCAGCCGAATCCCGCTGCAAATAATTTTGTTCTACCGCAAATCCAAACTGAAAGTGAATCCACAATAACACCGTTTCAACCGAACGAGATCACCAAAGTCATTCGGGTGCTAAAACCGAAAAAGGCTCCCGGCGGTGACCAAATAACTCCAAAAATTATAATTGAACTTCCAAACTGTGCTATTGAGGTCATCTGTAAACTCTTC